CCCCTCAGTCCGCTCAAAGAGCGGTCGATAATCTCGCCCAGCAGGCTCCTCCCTTGTACGGCGAGCATCAATTCGATCAACTGTACAGCGAACTTGATCCTTCTGGATACCGGACTCCAGGCCCTGGAAGTGGCCCTGGTACTCCGTTCGGCACCCTTAGCCGTAACCTGTCGGCTGAGAACCTTGCTTCGATGAATGCTCTAACCAACACCGACATTTCTGCTTCTGCCTTGCACACCCGTCTATCGATTCTGCGCGCCAACGGGAATGATCAGCCCTCCCCTACCGACCAGGAGCATCTGGAAAACGATAGCCGTCGCCTGGGCGTTCCTCCCGATTACTTCGGAGCGGGATCCGGTTCCAACTCGCACAGCCCCGCCAGTCCTGAGCTCTCCCGCCGTCCTTCTGACGAGGTTGATCACGACTACATCCATTCCGGAATGGCGACTCCATACCACCCTCAATATGCCGAAGTCGAGACCCTGAGCCGTGTCCCAAGCTACTCTACCGCCGTCCGCACTACAGTTCGCCCTTGCGACTCGGAACTGCCTGATTATCAAGCTGTCATCGCCGAGGATGTTGTCATCTCCGCGCCCCAGTCGCCTCAGCAGGCTCATGTCCGCACCGCCGGCCGCGGGTCGTCATATTTCTCCGCTATCGATGCGCTCCACAGCCGGTCTGGTCTCCTCCACTCCACCTCCAGTCACGACGATGAAGAACGTCGACTGCGTCTTGTCCAAGCTCGAGCCAGGGTCTAATTGGGTTGCAGATTTCATTAAGAATAATATTCGATCAGGTCTCTTCTTGAGGGAGCAATTGTCAACAAGAGTTGGAGTTTATTCTTGCTAGGTCGGGGAACTTGGTGGTCAGGTGAAGGCGTGACTGGCTCCGCCTGACCGACTTACCGGCTAGAACACCACCTCAGCACATATTCATCGGCCCTCGGATGCTGGCTGTCCGGGGATACTGCGTTTCCGAACTCGGCCTATCCCATAAAGCATTAACAGCGTGTGCTGCCGTTTCCCAGTTACAGTGTGTTTCCTGATCCAAACACGGAAGATGGTCGTTGTGCCTCTGAATGCTAGTCGCATACATACTTAGACTCGTTGGGTGGGGATTTATTTTACTGGCGTTCACAACTAATAGACGGGATGGGTTGACTGGGAGGACAGGAGTCCGGGATTTCTTTCTTCATTTTCTACCCTGATCATTTTATCGATGATGAGATGACAGGCGCTTTACGAGCAGATATTTCATGACCCGGTGTCGGCACGAATTATGCACATGTTACCCCAAAAAAGACCCCTCTCAAGTGAGGGGCAATACACTTTTTTTGTTAAATAATATTTTCATTACTCTCATATGCATTAGCGTTACGACAGCAAATAGATCTAAACTCCGTCATTGCAACCAGACATTATCTATATATTTAGTGGAAAGAGTAGTACCGGGGATGCAGTGAAACGTGAAAGCCAAGAAAACCTTGATTGTGAAGCGTGAATGAATGAGATTGTTTGGTTGAGCTCCCAGTTCTGACGTAGCCACAAAAGAACCAGAGGGGGGAGAATGGCCATTGAGTGTTGAGTTGCCCCTGGAAAAGTGTGGCTGAGTCGGGATCCGCTTGCGGAGGTGGCATTTCCGAAGTGGGCATGGCCTGATCATAGAGCAGACAAATCGATGGATGCTACACGGGCCAGCTCATCATCATCATTATCTGCGATCAATCGACCGGAAAGGATGGCGAACCTCCCCAATGGAACACTTGTGACGGTGATCCCTTGCCGGAATCGGAGGGAACATCTGAGGACCGAACAAAATCGTGGGTCATCCTGATTTGCGCCATTGAGGGGTACACTCCTTTGGGCGGTGACTTCATCGGTCGATCCTTTTACCTTTCAGTTAACAAATCTTCTACCTTTTGATCTCGTTTTATTGCTTTTGGCGCTTAGAGATTTATCCTCATTTATCGACGTCAATCACATAGTTTTATTCCCCTCCTCCTCCTCACTCTTTCGGATCCCGATTTCCACTTCTGTCCGAATCACACATATACTTATACCGCCTCTTTCCTACCTCCTCCTCCTCCTCCGAGCGTCTGTCTCGCCGGCATCTGCTTGTCCTCGCCCCACTTCCTCCGCTTCAACAAAGGCCAACAAGCCCCTAATCCGTCTGCCGATTCAACCGTCTTGACTAGTCGGAGATCGCGCTTCCGGTGTCCTCCACCTGTACCGCTTCGACTGCAGTTTTTGTTCCTCGTGGGCGCGCCGTTCGACCGTCTTTTCCTCCCTTGAACAGCTGTGTCCCTGAGAGGTTGCACGTCGCATCTTTTTCTCCCTTCCCCGCAGCAGCAACCATGTCGACTCCTGTCAGTCCCGTGGAGCATAAGCTCCCTCAGCGTTCGGGGACCGTCACTAGCGCCATGACTGGTGTCAGTCGTCGGACTTCCATGAGTGATGACGAGGCCATTCCTGGCTCTGATAGCAATGAGGTAGGCGAGGGGAATGCATTATCTTCATTTCTGTGGTAGATGGCTAATGATTTCGCGACTCTCTAGACCACGAACCTCCTCCTCGAGCGTCTCCGTGCTTGGAAGCACATGTGTGGTTATTTGGAAGAGTATGTGTCTGCGACGGCCAAGGTGTCCAAGTCGCAGTCCAAGGACTTCGAGAAGGTTTTGAAGGTGCGCTTGGCTACACTGGGCTCAACTTGAAGGGTTGGATGCCTGTTATACTGATACAATGGGTTCCTTGCGTGCAGACCGTGAACGAACCTCTGCGGGAAAGCCACCATTTCTCCCAGAGCGCTGGCGGCGTTTCTTCTTGGTTTGAGAACATCCGCGCCAACACTCAGGTAATTATCCAATTACACACGGGATGACGACATCAGCTCACAGCTGGCTTCTAGGGAATGGTGAACCTGTACCTTGACTCTGAGAGGAACCTCAAGGGCTCCGTGCTCCCGACCTTGGAGCGTCTTCACAAGGAAATCAAGGCCAAGTCGAAGGAATTGCAGAACGGCGCTGCAAAGGGCGCTAAGACTGTCGACAAGGCTCGCGGTGTCACTCAGAAGCACATTGAGCTCCTCGCTCAGCACACGGCCACACTTGACGCCGCGTCCCATAACAAGATTGACACGGCCCATGACCCTTACATTCTTCGTCGAGGTGTCACCCACCGCCTGAACAAGCAGGTTATCGAGGAGAACAACAATCGCCAGGACCTCATCGCTGTGCAGAACAACTTCCAGCAGTTCGAGGCCCATGTCCTGCAGACCGTCCAGGGCGCTATGGAGCAGTTCGTCGTCTACATGGGCGGCCAGCTCGACCGTCACCGCGCCATGTACACGGACATTCTGTCCTCCGCGCAAAAGGTTCCCCCGGACTTCGAATGGGTCAACTTCATGACCAGAAACGACCACATCCTCGTCAACCCCGACGCCCCGCCGCGCTCCCTCTCCAACATCACCTTCCCCAACCAGGAGCACCGCGCCACCAAGCCCTTGATCGAGGGCACTCTGGAGCGCAAGTCCCGCGCCATGCTCAAGGGCTACAGCAGCGGCTTCTACGTCGTGACCCCCGCCCGCTACCTCCACGAGTTCAAGGACAACGACGATCTCCGCCGCGACCCCGCCCCCGAACTCTCCCTCTACCTGCCCGACTGCATCATCGGCGCCATCGACGGCTCCAAGTTCAGCGTCAAGGGCAAGGACGTCTCCAGCGGCAAGGTCGGAAACGCCTTCCACACCAACACCGAGCTGAGCTTCAAGGCCGCCAACTCCAACGAGGCCGAGAAATGGTGGACCGTCATCAAGGACGCCACTCGCGCCCCGGCGTTCGCTTCTAGCACCACCACCTCGCCAACTAGCCCTGTTGCGGCCGAGAGCTCCCAGCCTCCCGCCTACGTCGAAAAGGAATCCGCTGCTGCTCAGCAGGAACCAGCCACCGCTGCGTCCCCGACCACTCCCGCTGCTGTCTCTCGTACTAACACTAGCGGCTCTGGCACTCTCCCTACTGCGTCTGGTACCACTGCTACGGAGGATAAGGCGTGATAACTATTCATCTTTTTTATTTCTGGTATATATGTTATCTAGGTCTCTTATTTGCCAGACCACGACGAGCTTCCATACTATGGCGCAGTATTGTTCACCCACGAGGACCAGGATCTGGATGAGTGAGAAGACATGTGTAATTTTGATATTCTCTATAATAAGGAGCATGATGCCGAAGCAGGCCAGATCTGGTAGTTTTCTGTATAGTCCCAGCACGGGTACACTGTGTCAAGCATTGTGGAAATGCTCAGTATCATAGAATATTACTGCCAGTGCTGATAACTGCGGGCGGGCCAGTATGTATAATATATAGTGGCTTCTCATAAAATTTAATAAGATTATCTCTCTTGATCCATACCGCTGACTGGTTGTATATATGGCGGCTTTATATTTAGTATTTTAATCAAGCTGCTGCTTGAATACAACTTTATACATACTAATATAGATTTTTTAAAAGGACTTCATCTTTATACGCAACTCAAAATACTGATATACCAGTGAAGATGGCCGACTCGCTTACCGCTTACGCTAATCCTACCTACTCATGATCTTGCAAATGTGTGGAGAGGGGCAGTTGGGTAAATGACCCTTACCGGAAGGTCATGTTACCCTGTGTACACTCGAATTCCTCTAGGACCAACAGGCCAGATTCAGGCTTAAGATGTGCATACGGACCGAGTCACCGACACGGGACCCCGCAAATCGACATCATACGCACATCTCCAGCCCGATTGTAGTGGATTGTAGAGACACAAGAAGGTGCGCTTGACGAGGTAATGATATCCCTTTTTTCTGCCGGATGGCCATTATCTCCTGTTCAGCAGTTTGATATGCAGCATAATCAAAGCCACTCAAGGAATTTATCGACAAGATGAATTCGAATTTGCTCTCCAACCGAATTATCACTCCTTGCCATAGCTTTGAACAATATCTACATTCTGAAGGGCTTACACTCATAGAGATGCATCACCTTCGCCGGTAAAATCAAGCCAGGATCCATTATCCAAGCCTTCAAACATGCCATATTGCAGCAACTGCGGGCAGTCTATTTCTGTATACTCAGGCAATCCAGTCCACATATCAATCCTCTGTTCACTCGGTAACATCCCAGATGCGGAATCCACGCTTTCTTGTGGTTGCCCCCATGGCTCTTGAATAGCCTCGCTTGCATGACTTACATCGGCCGTGGGAATTCTCTCCCTACCAGGATGACCAGTGAGCTTCTTGCGCAAACGTTGGCGCAGCAGCACTATCAACTCCGGAGGTTGCGCCGCCCGTCCCTGCAGGCGCTCAGCCTCGTCATGGCCGTACCAGGCCTTGAGAAGCATATTTGCGATGGCAGAATGCACGGGGCTTTGAAAGTTGCAGCCGAGTCCCCCATTATTGAAGTAGTCGCGCAGCGCCTTCCACGCACGCTCGCATATTTCGCCCGTGGTGCGTCGCTGCAGTTCACTTGCAAGGAAGATGCAGCCGGGCATCGGGACATGCATGTACATGTACCAAATAAAGCCGGAAAGGTCCTTATTTGTGCAAATCTCAGTCGTATATTCTAACATTTTAATGGCGGCGATGAAGAGCCGATCGTATTCCGTCTCATCCAGGTCGGTCGTGGGACTCCCTCGAGACATGAAGTTGACAACGCGTAGTCTACATAGTGACAGGCGTGTCATTAGATGTGTGAAGAGGTGGACTGGAATGTCAGGATCGCAATGTTGGAGGTAGGTGGTTTCCATGTACGCAAAGTACCCCTCGATATCGTGCGGCCGTTTTGTACCTGCGGCCTGTGGGTCTGGTCTACACCGGATACCGCTGGGAGTCGGCCCAATTGTTAGTTCGATTCGTGTGAGACTGAAAGTTGTCTCTGTTGCGTTGATACGGGCAGTTGGAGGAGCCTTGACATGCGAATGCAAATCAGTGTCGTTGACATTCAAGGGTAATGAGCAGTCTGTGTCTGGGGACAGAAGTGTGGTTGTCGCCAGCCCAGTCAACTCTGCGATCCGTTCATCCAGAATGGTGATCTGCCACCATAGTCTTCTCCGCTGCTCGGTTTCAAATGGCGACAAGCGGCAATGGGACCCATCGCGATGTAGGCCCATACGGGTGGCTATACGGACAGCAATTCCAGTGAGACAGAAAAGAGATCGTGGATCCGTGAAGCTCCTCACGCTGAACTGTACGTTACCAGCGGGTTAGTTTCAATATAAACAAAAGGCTCATTTCACCAAAATACTCACAAGGTATAGAAGATAAGCCTGAAGCACCATTAGCTCACTCGATCTCATATATTCGGCATTTACCAGGGCTTGTTGCATTGATCGGTGGTACTTGCTCAGAAGAACAGCTTTGCTCTCATCAAACATATTCTGAGCTTCTTCATCGGCCAGTGAGAGCACAGACATGGAATATATTCCAAACATAAGAGCTTCGAGGGGTTTCGGGATATTACTTAGGTCAGCGCTGGCGCCAATTATTTGCGCCTGAAAAGTCGGCACATGGATGATCTTTATAAGGGGGTCGACGTTGTTGATATAAATCTGCCATAATTGTAATATCTGGACGGCCGGCGGATGGCCGCTGGTAACGGAAGTTGGCACGCTACCCACGGATAGAGGGAAGGCGTCTGTATTACCAAACATAGCATCGAAGGACTGGTGAAAGGTGGGATGACCTGAATTGTTTCTGGTAGACTCCTGCATGATGTTTTCGATAGTCCGGTACTATGTAGTAGGTTAGGACAAAGTTTGGACTACTGTGTAGAGTGAAGTCTGAGCTAGGAACAGACCTCCTGGGAGTATGCAAACGACCCCGGACTTCTGCGAAGTCATTAGCTGCGTGACAGAAACAACAAAGTGAGATGCCATAGCTGACAGAGTATAATACCTTTCTGTGCGGCGTTGGGCGTCATTGCTTGGTAAATTCGCACCGGGCGAAAGAGACTTGGAAGTATTAAGATCACTCCGCGGAGCAGCAGAAGCATCTTCGGTGCCTCGGACGACATCGAAGTCAATTCCATGTTGGAACATTAAACTTTCATATCTTTTTAACCGTTCGATAAGTTCGTGGCCTTGCAGTTTCCTTGTTTTTCTTCGACGTGGCGGCGCTGAGGGAACTACCCTACACTCAGCTCGAGCCTTGACACAATTGGAGCAAGGCTTTTGCTGGTCACAACGGACCTTGCGTTGTTGACACAACACACACGAATGGCCTCTTGTCAGCATCATATCGGCCGCCGATTGATAAGATAGATTTAATACAGGGCTCCTGGAGGGGTGATAATGGATTCAGTCGCTTTTGTCGGGGCTCTAGACCCTGAGATGACGTCGATGAGTTTCGCTCTCGTCGAGAAAATTCTCGGTCCCGAAATGAACCGGAGCCCCACCGCTAACCGTTTTCGGTAATTCTTTAAGGGGCAGCAAATGATATGGTGCTCTTCTCAGCGAGCATCCTTCGATCCCGATCGGAGAACTATCCTGTAGCGAAATCATGTCCGTATGGCTGAGGCTTGTTCTAAGTCTTGTATAAGATAGGCTAAATATCCCCTACTAGAAGCCACACCGCCCTATATACCACACCATAGTCTCTATAGAACCGAAAAATGTCCGCCCTAGACAAATCTTAAGCGTCTTCGAAGACAGCTTCAAGGCCTGGAGGAGCTGAAACAGTGAACTATTATGAATCTCGGACCATCAAATTCTGGTTAATCATTCTGAGCAATTTTCTTGCTCTCTTTCGTCGCACTCGATCGAAAGATTGTTGCCACTGCCATTCCACGCATCACAGATGAATTCGATAGTTTGGGAGATCTGGGCTGGTACGGTTCGGCTTATATGCTGGCGGGCTCAGTATCCCAGCTGATATACGGCCGCATCTACAAATTTTATGACATGAAATGTACACTCCTGATCTCGGTGGTCATCTTTGAAATCGGGTCTGCCATATGTGGTGCAGCACCGACCTCGGGGACTTTCATCGCTGGCCGTGCTATTGCTGGGCTCTCATCTACTGGCATCTTTTCTGGCTGCATGCTACTTATAATCCTGCTTGTCCCACTGCACAAGCGGCCGATGTTTCAAGGCCTGTTTGGCTCTATATTTGGGATTGCCATGGTCATGGGGCCTCTAATTGGCGGAGGTCTGACGGATTCAGGCTCCTGGAGGTAAGTTCGTGGTAGTGTTTTGACGATTCTTGGTATTAAATAATAGGTTACTGACCTCTCAAAATATCAGGTGGTGCTTCTATATCAATCTCCCCATTAAAGCCGTCACCCTTATATGCCTGTTTTATCTTCTGGAAGCCGCCCAAGGCGCAGTCCAAGCATGTTTCTTTCTTGACACAGCTAAAACGCCTCGACCCTCTCAGTATATTCTTCTTTGTCCCATCCATAGCCTCACTGTTACTGGCCCTTCAGTGGGATGGATCTACTTATAGCTGGAGTAACGGCCGTGTTATCGCCTTCTTTATAGACTTTGGCATTCTGATGCTAACGTTCGCCATTGTTCAGATCTATATGCCCGAGACAGCCACTATTCCCGCCCGAATAATTACCCAGCGGAGCATTTTCTTCAGGATTTTATATACCTTCTTCACATCAGGAGGCATGGTGTTGATGATCTACTATCTCCCTATTTGGTGTATGTGAAGCTACCTCATCATGATTATCAAACACCCTAATACTAATAGCATGCTCAGTTCAAACCGCCAAGCTAGTTAATCCTATGCAGTCGGGAATCTACACTCTACCACTGATGCTTAGCTTAGTAGTCGCAAGCATCATCTCAAACCTCACGACGCAGAGAACCGGCTACTACGTTCCTGCCATGTATTTTTGTTCATGTATTATATCGATCGGGCTGATCTACTGTCGACTTTCACTGTCAACACCAGCTCATCCCATTGGATTGACTACCAGTTCCTCGCCGGTTTTGATTTGGGGTGCGGCATGGAATGGAAGAGTATCAAAAAGGGCCGTAACGGCCAAGATGAGGGAGGTCCTCCTGAATGTACTGAAAATCCTGGGGAAACTACAGTCACAACATTCGATAATAAAGTGTAGGGGTGTATCGGTTAGTGTACATTATATAGGTCACATCACCATTTGTACTACTTCTGTTTCAGTTCTCCCTCACGGTTAAATTATCTAGAGCTATTCGTTTATATATGTTATTGAAATACACGGAAAGACCAATACGCCTGTCATAAGAAAGCAAACAGTCCCAAAAGAAGCAAGAAAACTTGGATCTATATTCAATCTGAAAGGACACCATATATGTGTTTCTGTAATATACAATAACAAATTGACAGGGAACAGCAAGACTAGTTAAACAAATAATAGACCATCACAGTCTATAAAACAACCCCCTATCTCAACAGATATAGTACGGATGCAGAATGATGGGACTCAACCGACCATGTATTGATTTCAGATGCTTTTTGCGAAGGCAACCTGAGATAGAACGTCATGAAGAATTTTAAAAGGCTCAGACGGCATATCCGTCGTTCGCCATGCGATGTATCCATCTGGCCGAATAAGAGATGCGCCCTTACTAGGCAGTCCCATTGTTTGACGGAACACTTCGATGTCGGAAATACCAACGTCGGCTCCAATCTGCATGCATTTCATCTGAACAGGCGACCGCTCATTAACCCAAGCGACAACTTTCCTCCATCCAATCTCCTCCGAGACAAGTGTCCAATGTCTACTTCCAAGTAGATATTGAATAGAGACGACTTCCTCGTCCTTTTTCACCCAGAAGTGGGGAACATGTGTACCAGGCTGTCCTGCCCACTCATCCGGTTTCTTGGCCGGAGGTAGATCGTCACTGACACCAAAGAAGCCTCTAGATTTGTAGAGCTCGCCAAATTCCATTGCGTCGTTGTCCAATTTTTCACCCGTGACAGATTTTTCATTCAAATGAATTTTGTAATCGGAACGGACGAAAATCTGGTCATGGCGGAGTTGTGCTACGGGGCGGCGTTCAGTGTCATAGGTTTCAAGGAGCTCCGGTGTCGATTGACCAGAAAGAACAGACGCCAGCTTCCAAGCCAAGTTATCCACATCGTGGATACCAGTGTTTGCACCGTATCCACCACGATTAGGAGGTAGTGTATGCGCGGCGTCCCCAGCAAGGAAGATGCGCCCGTCCTGAAATTTGTCTGCGATAAGCGCTGCCAACTCCCAGCGACCGGTGGTAATGAAATCAATAGCGATATCGTTGCGCCCGACTGCTTTATGGATTTCGGCAATGAGAGTCTGCTCGTCTCGATCGACATCGTCATAAAACATGAGAACCCAGCGACCGTCAGAGTAGGTAGTTAAAAAAGCCTTTAAGTCCGGCTGCTCGATGGTGAATTGCTTGACACCTTTACATAATTCCTCCAAATCGGCTCTAAATAACACACTGCGCATTGTCTGCAAGTGGCCGCGGCCGTGTCTTGGGATGTTCAATTGCTCTCGGACATCGCTGCGATTGCCGTCCGCAGCGATTAAATAACGCCCACGAAGTTGAGACGTCTCGCCATGGGCATCCGTGACTGTCACAGTCACACCAGTTGCATCTTGCTCAACATGGACGGCGGTAAAACCACGCCGTATCTCCACACCATGTTGGAGGGCAGCTTCTTCAAGAATGGACTCGAGCTGGTCTTGCGGTATAGCGGCTCCGGGAAATTGGGAGTACTCCATTCGAGGGGACTCCACATCATCATCAGTTGATGGCCCACGAGACTTCTTCTCAGAATCCTCTTTCATGCCGGTATCATCCCAGGTTGTACTCTCGTACCACTGGCCTGAGAGGCTCTCCACGCGAGCACGCTTTAATTCGAAGTCCCGGGGAACCTGAGGTATTTTGTTGACGCATCCAAAGGTGCGGAAGATCTCCATAGTTCTCGAGGTAAAACCGATGGCGCGGGGGTGCTTGGAAATCTCTATATGCTTCTCGATGATAATACTCGGCACTTTGTGGACTGCAAGGCTCAGGGCAGCGGAGAGTCCGACCACGTTGCCACCCACAATGATAATGGGTTGTTGGATCTGCATGGTTTATGTTTGAAGATGGGGATGGAATATATGAACGAAGAGGTCAATTAAGGGATGTATAGCCACACAATAAATGTAGGAGTAGTAGGAGCTTTATAAGTTTACTGAACTCCAATCACGTGACGGCGACACGGATTCATTTCTGAGGTTCGGTCCCGAGAGTTAATAGACTAACGGGTACTCGGCAAATGTTTCGGGACCGAGTCGCTGGCATATGCGGCACCCTCGGCCTTCGGGTTTTTTCGTAGGTTCATTAACTTCCCATTATCAATGCCTATTTCCCCCGCTGGCCGGTTTATATTCTTCATACTTGCGATGACTCATTGGATAATGAAAAGCTGGAGTCTATAGCAATGTTTAGTGATTGGACTGCAGCAGCTAGAAAAATGATCTTCTAAGGCTTCTGAATAAGATGAAATATAATGTTGGAACAGCCCGCTAGACCAAAACGATATATCGCCGCTAGCAAGCAGCAGGGGTGACTCAAATGTCTCAACATATAATTATAAAGAACAGAAGAATAAGATCTCCATATTAGACTATATCGTGTTATGCAAGTCATGCAAAGAGACAGGCGCTGAGAGACGCTAAGCATCCGTGAAATACACCTGGCAGGGAGTTGAGAATTATGAAGACCAGCTTCGCCCGTTCCTTGATTAGTATAAAAATCTTTGATTTTTATACACCCGCTTATTACTTACTAGAGCAAGTATTTCAGGATAAGTAGACAGCCAAACTAGAAATTTATCTCTATAATAAGCTATAGATAGACAGTCCTCCTATAACAAGAATTACCAATAGGAAAATAGAAATTTTAATATGCAGATACTCTATAAGATACTAGAAGCTTGGTTCTTGAAGATAAAAGCGGTTGATATATATCAAAGAGCGTCTATGTTATATTTTATTCATACTATTTCTGAGACTGGACCTATTCGATCTCTTAAAAGCTAATAATTGCTTCTAAACTTGGTAGAGATTCTACTACCTATACCTGAATTTATAATAGCAATATCTAATCTATTATAGCTATAAATCTTGTTATTTACTATAGCCCAGCTGCCTAAAGCAACTTAGCCCATGGATAAAAGCTCTACAAGACCTTTTAAGGACTCAGCTTGCCTACCTACTTGCTTATCTATATATCTTACTCATCTATCTATATTCTGAATAACATCACCCAGATTACCTGTATTACTTATAAAATTTAGTATTACTCCCTCATAAAGCAGTATTCTATGAAGAATTTATCTTACAGTCTGCCAAATTCAACTGATGTGGCTCAAGTACGGCTGGGCAGACAGGAAGCCCTGTGCTCTACATCCTGTGGTCGTATGTATCATATTGGGAGAAAAAGCCAAAATTGCCCGACGATCACTTCAACACGTGGCCAAAGCTCTGGCAAAAGGGGCTTTCGCGTCCCCGCTCTGCCGTATCATAAATCACCATCCTCATCCCCACGAGTCCATAACATAGATGAGATAAACCAGACATTCGAATGATAGAAACCCTTCATTTTTTGGCTGAATCTTGCAAAGCCTCCACAATAGATCCTCCTTTATATCCACTGGCGACCTGCTTCCCGAACCAAGTTACTTTGAAATGCGGCTATCCATAGGCCCATTCATAGCCTCACATTTCCAGCCAAACATGACACTTGACCACTCCCTTACTCGCTCATCTGGTCAATTATCGAGGTTAACATGATAACCTGTCATTCAGGATAAGGGTGTGATTGTCCCGGGGCTTGTGAGCAGACGAATCGGGGAATGAGAATAGGCGGTTGCCTTTCCCTTCTGGGGCCAATTTGTGGAAATTCGAACAGCGTACCTGACTGATCAAAGTAGTCCCATCCGAAATTGAGTTCTTTCAACAACGATTGTGGGCTTGGATGGCCCTCCATTATTTCAGGAGCAGGCATTCGCCTCTCTCAGCAATTTTGTCATATCCCGCCTTCTCGAGCTTTCTATGGCGGCCGAGTAATTGGCATCCCGCACCACAACCATGAGACCCTTCACGCAGGTTAGCACAGGAGGAACCTAGTAAATTTACTAGCGAAGTTATGAATTACCCAGGCAGTCGAGGTGTTCGAGACAGTCCTTGATGGAATGACAGATGATGATGGCAGGCAGGTACATCTATCCTACCAGCTTGGGGCGCTTTTCTGGGATGCTCAAGCGACATACAACACAGCTTCAGAGAACTGGGTTTTGAACATCAACTCCATGGGAAGAGAGTTTGTTACTAATTTTCTGCAGCTTTTGGATCTTAATAATCTTTCTACACTCGAAGATGTCACCTACGATATATTGAAAGAATGGGTGCAGTAGGACTGGCAAAATTTTGAGGATTCCCTGCACACCATGTGGCCGGATCTGATGCCCTTCTATGAAGCGGGTGGTAAGGTGCTTTATTATCATGGCGAGTAGGATGGAATTATCCCGACAGCTTCCTCGGTGCACTATTACGACTCTGTACGTAGGATAATGTAACCAGATCTCGGGTATAATGCTATTTATGAGGCCTTGGGCCAGTAGTACCGCTTATTTCTCGTCCCAAGAGCCTCGTATTATATGAATAATGATCTTCAGCTAAATGACTTATTCCCGCGGATCTATATCCAGATGTTGATTGAGTGAATGGAACAAGATGTGGTGTTGGTGAGATTTAATAGCACCGTTTTGAGTGGTATATTTTGGAAAAGAGATGAAGTAGATCTGCGCGTGGCTACTGCGGCCGATGTGGTATAATAATGGGACTAGCATAGAGTATGAGTATGATCAGCAGTCTCTAAACATGTGGGAGTGGAATCTGAATGTGTTCAATCTCCCTGTATATTAGTAAGGTGTTTGTAGGGGCTGCTTTCATTCTGAATTCCTTTTTTCGGCTAAATTTATGTACTCTAATACAAAATCATAACTACACGGGCATTATATTTGAAGTGACCGGCTTATTCCATGATATTGGCCCTTGCTCTTTACATGCAATCTGACCAGGCACGATATATTGATCTAAGTCTCGTTTAAGGGCCATCCGCCGGATTGACACCAGGCCGTATCGATATATCGGAGTGTACATGTTTTGAATATGCGATGCATTAAAGTTAATAAAGTCCCTCCCGCTGAATCTTCTTGTTTGGAACACCAATAGACCGCAGTCCATCCATAGCAGTATCAGTGAAGGCCTTGGGTCTATATATGAATATCTCTTTGTCTCTGGCGCTTGTTTTCCAATACTCCGGTCTAATGTGACCCTTATATGTCGAGACGCTCGTACCGTGTTGGTTTAACGCCCGGGTATTCAAGTTGCTAAAGTGGCTGGTGAACAGATCGATTCTTATTTTGACAGCTGGGGAACATTACTCAAAGCCATTTCGATGAGGTTGAGCATGACATCTGGTTCTCTTGTTGATAGCACGAGTATAATCTCACCCTGTGGTGTGTCCTCACGCGATCAAGATCAAAATAGGGGACTGGACACACTTGGGATTCCAGCGCGAGGTAAGGCCGAGATCACTTTTCCGGAAGCACTGCATTCGATTGAGGTGACTGTCTCTTGAATTTGGGGAGGAAAAATGTCGGGACGGGCCGAGACGCGAACCCCTGAACCACCCGACCGTGATGAATATGAAACTTCACCACTGTGATTGATAAGGCTGAAATGTATGATAAGACCATCGGCCTACTATACTTGGGAGCAAGAGATTATGTGATAGGATCTACTTGTCAGGGTAGAAAGCCTGTTGATTAGGTAAGGAATCGGCCATGAAACACTATAGATTTATATAATAATAATAAAAATAGTCTATATCTATAAAATAGACTGATCCTTGGAGGATCAGTAAGTCTCTAAGCTGCTGCGATCTGGTTGGAAGTACCACCAAAAGCCTGGTTTTCCATTTCGTATGAGTTGCTGTTGGATTCAAGCTTGCGTTTCGGTGTTTATACCCTGTTCATTACGTATCTTCGTTGCTACTTATGTTTCTGATGCCTAGTATAATACAGAATGAACAAGCCAGTGCATTTACTCATGGATTCATCCGAGTGGATGTATTCTGGATGTGTACATCGTCTTCAAAGATACATGTTTCAGTCAAATATACTGCTGGACAATAAGAAAGGTAGATAGAGAGATGTATCGCATCGGTGTAAAAGAAACGCTCAAGGGGGTTAAAAACGTCTGGGAGAATCGTGGGAGCTCGTATCGGATAGATACAGTTCGAAGGAAATAAGTTAAATGCAGTTAATACAGACGAAGGTACGGGAAAGAAAGGTATTGAGGGCGAGAAGTGAAGTGTGCAGGCTTAGAAATCTTCAGGGCTTTCGAGGTCTGCCAGTTTCTGGCCCAGGAATCTCCCTAGCGCTGCAGATTTGGACTCCAGCGCGAGCAGGATAGATGGCGAGGCGGAGAGGTTCAAGGTCGCTAGACGGGCTAGATCACTGCTCCGGTCGATTTCGTACTGGCTTTCGAGCTGCGCGTCTGAGCTAGGGCCATGGCGGCCTCCGTTGGCTGCTACAACACTGGCATATGTCCTCCCATCATTGGCAGCATCGTCGCCTCCGCGATGTGAGGGTCCGTTTAGAAGACTCTGTGTACCGTTCGGTGTTGCTGCGTCTTCGGCATCTCCCAGTTTCGATGGCCCGACTGCGGCAAGAAGGACCTTGTCTGCGATTCTTGTCACGACCGCCACTAGATCGTCAAGTTCGAAAACAATAGACCCGACATCGCCGAGAGACACAGACGGGGTGGTCACGTATGATGATGGATGACTGGCAGGGTTCACGCCAGTGAGGTTCCCACACGATGCATTCTTCGCGTAGCACGTGTATGCCGCACCGTATGTTGCGCTCAGGTTGCGCAGCTGCCGGGAAGGGAGGGAGGATGCGTATGCGAAAATAGCGCCATTGGTAGCGAATACCCTGTGAAGCATGGCTCATTAGCATCTCCATCGCCGAGGTAGCAGGAATGTCCATACATCATAGAGGTGATTTCCGGAGGTGAGAGGTTATCCTCTAGGAGGTCGCTGAGCGCCTCCGCATCCAGCATTTTTATGTCCGGAAGACCGGGTATCATGTTGCCTCCGGTGTGCTGCTCGTAGCAGTCTCCAAGCGCGATGTCTTGTTCAAGTGTTTTGTTTTCAATAATCCAGCCCTTTGGCGGAGACCAAGAACAGTCTTCGGGAAAGAAGAAGCAGTTGTCCCAGTAGTCACGGTCGTTGTAATCGTACTCGATCGGGTCTTCGGAGTATCCAAGGAGGTCTTGCGCGTATTGAACGGGGCTTCGTGCCCAATAAGGACGGTATGGGGGTTCGGGATAGACTTTGGGGGTTTGACCGGGGATACCTGGCCGAACTGGATGATCATATTCAGCCATATTGCCTCAGCGAGTATGTATTATGAGATATTGAGGGTAGTAAATGATGATCGGAGGTTGAGGGCCGAGAAAATGGGCTTGATAAGGGATTATGTAGAAAGGTAGAAAGCAGAGTGAAGTGTCCAAGATAAGACGAAACGGTGGTAGTACAAAGGACGAACGTGAATCATTTAAAAGTGCCCCTTCTGCCACTTTGGCTTGAAGACACAACTAATCAAGTTGGATCTCCTGCCCAAGGCTGATGCCGAAGTCCGGATCTCATGGTCAAATGAGGCGTGGTATGATTCATATGACGTTCCAGAACGCAGGAAGCGAGGCGTGGGGGATGTTTCACGGAGGAATGTCACAGCCGGGGGCCAATGGCCACGACAGCAATGGAACGAGGTAAGGACACGAAAATAGCTTAACGTGGGAGGAAAAGGGGGAAAGGAAGAGGAAAAAGAAACGAAAGGCGGCAGTCAATGGTCAACAAGGCCGATGTCTGGGGCGAAAGCGAAGATCGCTTGGGCGGAGGATGACGATCCCTGGGGATTCAAGCCAGAGGGGCACAAAAGGATACGGGAGAGAAAAAAGAAAACACAAACCTTATAGAGAGAGAGAGAGAGCGGCCTGCGCTAGGGGATTGAAGACACGAGGAGGTTGCAAAGTGAACGACTAGGATCAGCCAAGACGAGGGAAAGAGGGAGTTGGAGATGCTTTGTCGGAGTAAGTGGAAAGGTGGGCGGCAGAAAAGAAGTATGGGGTATCCCGCCTCTCACCGCCTTGCCCAACTGTCATGATAGTATGGACCGCAGTATTAAAGACCGAACCATGTATACTCACTCCATAGTACTATGGTCTCGCTTGTCTCGGCAGGGAATTATTCCCTAAAACATGAACCACTACTATTAATAGGAACTTTATTGCGGTTCAGTGTGCAGTTGGCAATTGGCAATTGTTCAATAACTGTGTCATACTATGCCCGCCGCACTAATATATATCCTTCCCCTCTTTGGTTCAGATTTCTTATCATCACCGTCGGTTAAGTCTGCTCACAACACTGTAGAACTTTCGAGTATATAATAGATCTGGAGATGCGCAAAGTATTCTAGAAGCCAATCTTAGACATTGACATATGCGAAATTATAAAGAAATGCGATTATTAATGCAAGCTTTGGGCGGGCCTGTTTGGATAGCGTCATAGGCAGGTGGAACCCCCACCTTTTTTTCGGGTCTCCTCACACGCCGCTCACTAATCCAAACAAGCCATCTTTCTTTCTGTTTCCTTTCCCCCTCCTTCTTTCCTTTCCCCCCTCCTTCCTTCATGTTTTCGCTTCCCGCTTTTCGCTCATCTTTCCTCAGGGTCCTCGTCCCAAGATTCTCTATCGTCCCTGGTACGTACCTCCATCTTTTCCAGAGGATAGCTTTCCCCACTCGGATCGATTCCAGAAGCTTACCACAGGAGATGTAGGAACCAATCGATCCCTCGCAACCATGGCGACAGACACTTCCAAGTATAAGCTTAACCGTTAGTGGCTCCCTTTGCCCCGATCATCAGTCCGGTCTGGAGCTAACAATGTGCCTGTACGACAGACACCATGCTTCGGGTCAAGGACCCGAAGAAGTCTTGTATGTTCGCCTTTCATAGTAGGCTTCAGAGGTGCCTCATATACTCATCTGTCGCTATCGCTTAGTGGAATTCTACCAGTACCTGGGTCTCAACAAGGTTAACCAGATCGATTTCCCCGAGAACAAGTTCTCCCTCTACTTCCTTGCCTACGATGGCCCTCAATCTCTCCAGGGTGACCGTCACTTCACTGACCGCAACGGCGTCTTGGAGCTCACCCATAACCATGGCACGGAGAATGACCCCAACTACAGCGTGGTCAACGGTAACACTGAGCCCTACCGCGGTTTTGGACACATTGCTGTTTCTGTGGACAACATCGAGGCTGCCTGCAAGCGACTGGAGGATGCCGGATACCCCTTCCAGAAGAAGCTTACCGAGGGCCGTATGCGTCACATCGCGTTTGTCAAGGATCCCGATGGATACTGGGTCGAGATTATCCGCCGTCACAATGAGGATGTTGGCACCACCACCGATCCCTCCACCTACCGCCTGAACCACACCATGCTCCGTGTCAAGTGCGCCGAGACTAGCGTCAAGTACTACCAGGAAGTCTTTGGAATGACTTTGCTGCGCACCATTGAGAACAAGGATGCTGGATTCAACCTTTACTTCCTGGGCTACCCTGGTGCCAACCCTGAGAAGCGAGAGGGTGCCACCAACCCGGTCTCTGAGTGGGAGGGTCTGCTGGAACTCACCTGGAACTATGGCACGGAGAAGCAAGAGGGCCCGGTTTATCACAACGGTAACACGGAACCGCAAGGTTTTGGACACATCTGTAAGTCATTCTCTATGTTGACCCCGCCTAATGGGTCAGTTTCCCGCAGAGGATAGAGGAGTCGCTAACAGCCGGTGGTTACAGGTGTCTCTGTCGATGATCTCAACGCTGCCTGTGATCGGTTCGAGTCTCTGAACGTTAACTGGAAGAAGCGCCTTACGGATGGACGGATGAAGTACGTGGCATTCATCTTGGATCCTGATAACTATTGGGTAGAGGTTGTCCAGAACGAGGCGCTTAAGCGTACTGGTAACTTGTAGTAGAGGGATTGTGTATCTAGCCGGCCTGCCGCACATAAACTGAAGATATTAGCACTGTTGTATTTGCCGGGAAAAGGCGCGATTCGCGCTGAATGTACTCGTAGAGATAAAGAAAGCGTCGAATAGCGCGGGATTTCTTTCCCTTGAGGGATGCTTGGGGTTACCGAGAGGCTGATTGGCCCACTGGGTGGGGGGATATCCCCCGCTTCTCAGGGAGGCCCGCCTATCAGAGGATCGCCAACACTTCCCCAGAGCATCGTCGCCGACCGGGCTAAGACCCTCCCCCCCAGCACAAGAACTCCAGACCATTATTATTGACGGTGTGCGCCATCTCCGTCTGTCCTCATGACCCTCTTCCTCCCTGAATTGCATCTTAGACCATGCATGCTGTCCGACTGCCCTCAGTCGATGTTGGGTGACCGGATGCTTTCTTCTTCTCACCCTCCTCGTTGAACCTATCTCCCTTCACCCTCCCCCCACACCCCGGGGTATTCTCGCGCTGCTGTCGCACCAACTCAACAAATCTTGAAATCACCATGCAGCCGCAGTCTGAGAAGCCCAAGCGGGCACCTCGGAAGCATGTCACCACCGCTTGTGTTCCTTGTCGGGAGAGCAAGATCAGGGTATGTGAACTCTTCGCTTGGATCCTATCATCAGACTTGGTATAATGTTCCCCGGATGCTGACGCAATTTCGCCCAGTGTGACGGTGCCACTCCGAACTGCCACAATTGCGAGAAGAAGGGAAAGGATTGCAAATACCAACACGGTGATGATAAGCGGAAGTAGGTTTAACTCGCTCGCTGTTTCTCTGTTTTCTCCGTCGGCCTCGTTGAATTTGCCTCTCGTGTCCTGGGTATCGACCGTCTTACGATAAAATCTGGATGGTCATTTTGTTTATCCGCGCAGCCAAACAAGGCTGACCGTACCCTTGCCAGAGTGTCTCTCCGCGCCGCGACGGAGTTATTTTCCGCAAGAATAGACCAACTATGCCAGTTCATCTACGATCATGGGTTGGAACCGCCCCCAATGAAACCCGAAGATGAGGCGGGCATGAACAGGGTTCTGGATACCCTGCAAATCCCTCGGGGGCTAGCGAAAAGGAGGGATTCGGTGGCGTCTAGTGGGAACAATGCGCAGCCCCAACCCGTTACTCAATCCCCGGCCCACACACCGTCTCCTCTCCCTTCTTTGAGTCGTCAACTAGGTGGCACCGAGGATGTACCCAAGGTCTCCTCTCCATCGCACAGTGTAATTCCTAATCAGGGTCTCATATCACCGGTCGAGAAAAGTCAAGTGTCTATGAACCCTTTGGCGATGAACCCGGGGTTGTCCGCCAATTATCCTTCGACACACTGGGGGTTTACTCTTCCGACGGCAGAGAGCTTAGATGCTCTATACGCCAACATAGACGGCGCTTCTAATCGTTCTAACGAGAATAGTACTAGTCCTGATAGCCTCCAGTTCACACCAGACATCACTCAACAACCGGGCGTGTTACTGAGCCAAGCGTGGGACCGAGACAATGAGTCTGATAGTGGTGAGGAAGACGAAGCGGAAAAAGATGTCATTGAGCAGATTTCGCATCGCATAGGGACTCTGAAGATCGCCGGAGATGGTCACCTCAGATTTTATGGAGCTACTTCAAATCTCAACCTTGTGGACGTGTCTGCGACACAACAACGCCAACGCCCAGATGCACGGACCGTCCGTCATGACGGACAGGATATATTGAACCATCTGCGGGTGGGGCAGCCTGTTGACCAGGCCCTCGAGGACCACCTTGTCGAACTCTACTTCACCTGGCAAAACCCTAGCACCTATGTGGTCGATAAGGATATGTATATGGATGCGAGGATGAAATGGAGGAACGACTTGATTGACACACCCTTTTATTCGGAGGTCCTGACGAATGCCATGTAAATACCCGCTCCTCTATCATTTGTGACCTGTTCTGACAACTTCCAGGTGCGCCATTGGCAGTGCATTCGAAGCCCGGTATCATCCGACATTCATCACGTTTCCAAAATCGCTTTCGGAGTTCTTTGCAGACAGGGCCAAGGCTCTTCTGGAGATTGAGTTGGATTCCCCTTGCGTTGCGACTGTCCAGGCTCTTGTTATCCTCAGCTCGCACGAGGGATCCTCTAATCGCGATGCCAGAGGTTGGCTCTATAGCGGTAAGCTGACCATATCGGGAACTGCAAGTTCGTTACTGACTGTGTCTAGGGATGTCAATGCGACTTGCATTTGATCTCGGACTGCATTTGGATACGACACCTTACGTTGAAAAGGGAGACATAAGCGTCCATGAGGCCGATGTACGTAGGATTGCATTCTGGGGCAGCTATACTGCGGATCAGTAAGTATCACCTGTGATGGTGGACCTGTTTAGACCAAGACTGATTCGATGGTACAGTTTCTGGGGGTTCTATTTGGGAAGGCCCTTCCGAATGAACGCAGGAGACATCACTATCCCAAAGCCTGCCTCCGATCTAGGAGCTGAAAAGGAAGGCATGTGGCACCCGTATGGGCTACCAATGAAGTCAGACCTACTGGAGAACGGATTGAGGAACCCGAATGAACTGATAAGCCGCCAATTCGCCGTTCTTTGGGAGATCGTATCGCCCGTCGGCCACATTCTGTGAGTCCCCGGCTTCCGACGCCCTTCTGCAAATGCTAACGCGGGATACAGATACGGCTGCTCCGACATTCCACGCCATGATCTGCAGAGGCTCTGCCACAGAGTTACGGATGACCTTTTCGCTTGGAAGGCCAATCTGCCATCCAGTCTGGACGTTGATCTCGCAAATGATAATGTTCCGAAACTACCTCACCTCCTAGTACTGCAGTACGTTCGCGTTCCCCTACGACCTCACTTTCGCTTGTATCTGAGACTAACACGATCATAGCATGCAATACCATCAAATCGTCATCTTCACCCACCGACCCTGGGTATCGAAGAGTTACATTCAACCCCGCAGTCCACGCCAAGGGCCCGGCTATCACCACGCTCGACGAATGTGCGTCGAGTCATCAATAGCAATTGCCCGACTCCTCCATATATACGAGAAACACTATACATTCCGGCGTATGAACAACCAAGTTGTCGCCATGATCTTCAGTGCGGCGCTCATGCTCCTTTACGTCACCATATCAAGTTCCCGACCAGGCGGAGACACTGCTAGCAGCAATGCAGAAATGGTCGCCTACTTGAATCTCTGCTTCCGCGCACTCGATGAGATAGGCCAGTCATTCGAAAACGCCAAACGCACCCGTGACTTCCTGGTCAGTCTGCAACGGCGCTGGCAAGCGCACATGCGACGCTCCGGGGCACTGAAGCGCCAAACGAGTCGTCATCAACTCTCCTCTCAACAGTCCACAGGACGCATTTCAGATGCAGAGGCCTCGCGGAAAAAGTCCCGAGTTACAGCTCCGAAGAACCAAGCCGCTGTTCCACTATCTTTCAACAATACGTCTTCAATCACAGCCCCAGGGCTTTCTTTAAACCACTCACAGTCTCAGTTGCATCAAGGACCGGGGCAACCAGCCTCTGACCCGACACAGCAATTAGGCGTATGTCAGCCTGGGGAATTGGACTGGATCCGGGATTCAGATTTGCAACTGCTCTCCGAGAATCTGGGCGACAGCGGGTTCCCTCACCTGGGGAATACGAGCACCACGTATGGCAGTGACCCGACCCTGCCTAGCCTTACTGATATTGAGCCGTGGTGGGATTCGCCTAATGGAACCGCTACTTTCGGAGGGTCCTCATTATGATACAGATATAGATGCCAAATAGCTTAATGATGTTCGATACTACTACTTCTTTTTTTTCCTATAGAACTGACTCCTAATTTCTGTTGGCGACCCAGCTTACTGGTCTTATCAACGTTCTAGAAGCCAAAGGGTTTCACCTAACCATTCGCTTGCTTTGCGACCTCTTCGTACGGTCCCTTCCTTATCAACACCACGTAATCTTCTTCATACTTAACACACTCCGTTGCATTGTGTGTAAACTCGGTTTAATACTCGAATCAAATCGACTCAGTGTTATTCAGCTTTTGACCTGATAGAGCCCGTTACGTAAGATGCTATCTATGCAGGCGCCTCACCGTCTGGAGCAAGAATGTGGCCCTGAACGCCGCCGAATCCCTTGAAACCCGCGGAAACACTTGAAACACAGGAAGCCATGTATGCATTAGACGTAGAAAAGGCCGTTGTCACAATTTAAACACACTTAAGCAAGATATAACATACATTCAAAAGAGCATGGCAAGTTGCTGACCATTCGCCTGTGCGTCACCATTCTATCCGTCCTTCCACCACTTCCTGCTTGATATTAACTATATTATTTATACTAATAAATACATGCTTGTGTCCAGTACTTGGGTTATCCTAACCCGTCTTTCAAGAATTCGTTTGTTGGATATCCGTTTGGAGGAGATCAGTATCCGCTGTGCCGGTGGGGTTTTGCCCAGGACGGGCCTTCGACTTCATGGTGTGGAGATATAGGTTCTTTCCCTTTTCTTTCGAGGAAGCCCAAAAAGTCTTTAAACCCCTTCTTCGGCCGCTGGTTCATCGCCTGAGCCTCCTCCAATGATTGGGGCTGGTAGGGCGCAACAGGCACCCGGGGTGGCCACCTATTCGAAGAGAAGCATGGGATTCCATAGGTGGCCACCCCTATAAGGGATGAAGCCATGGGAGCTAAGAGAGTTTCCAGTCCTGTCAAATGTGGCTTGTTAGTTTCGCTCGGTATTTTTCCTTTCTTATTATGCGCAGAAGTAATATGGAAGCTAACCTTGCCGGAAGGATTTCCCTTTGTGGATATATTGGCTTTTGCCCGATTTCGCGGGCGCGTTCATCTGGGCATGAGAGCTGGTGCTCTCCATGCAACAAAACTTTCATTTTGTTGCCTAGTGTCGGCAATATGTTGGTGTGTGTTGCCTGGAGGCTGATGGAGGTAAATATGGCCCGGCGGGCACGCGTGCTGGGGGAAGTAGAGAAGATGTTAGCTGTCTGATCGAAGAGACATAGTTGAGTCAGTCTAATGGGTGTCCACCATGGACTTGGAGTTTAAACATACTAAGCTTGTTATCGTTGCACCGCCAATGCTGTGGTGGCTATGGCCACAGGCCGAGGCTATAAATTCCAGTAAAATACTGGAGTGCTGTTGCTGTAACCGCCGGGTGCTGGAAGATAAAAGAAACAGAAGACGACTCTCCAAGAAACTTCAGTGTTAAGTGACTGTCAATGATGGTAAGTGGGGGTTAGTCTACAAGTTCCTTTCCGCTTCGCCTTCCTTCCCGAATGGGAAGGTGCAGGCCTTGCCCGTGAGAATTGATTATGTTCAAACAATCCTATGGGATTTTACTAGTTCTTCATAGTAACTACACTACATCAAGCGACATGTCGCACAAGCTAGTTGTTGCTGCCCTGTGTGCGGGCCTTTGCCTCACCAGTGTGGTCCTCGGAATGGCTTGTTACGCTTTCGTGAAATACATCAATAGAAGGTACATCAAACTGAAGTGTCCTGTGGCACAAGATTCTTTCCCCCTTCTTTATACCAGTATAGTACCACTTGGAGGCTTTCCAAGAGGAATACAGCTAACTCAATATGAACCTATGTATATAGATGGCCAGCTCCAGCCCCACAGAGGGCTTACACGCCCCGAACTCTAGATGAAGTCCTGAGACTAAACGCAAGGCCCTCATTGGGCAGTGATTTTCCCTTGCGGGATTTCGAAGCAGACAATGTGCCTCCTGCAAATATGGTATAAGTAGGGATCAACTGGGGATGGGGTAATGTATACACATAATGCCAAGACATAGCTGGACGTTAACTGACTAGTTAGACACTAGCAAATAATCCCTAATAATAATCTATAAGAACTACTCTGTCTACCTAGATAGCCCCAATGCACCCTGAAATTACCAGTAGATATGAAATAGTAGAAACATAGAATATGGTTATTGACATCCTCAAAGTACGCGGTCGGAGTTAAGTTAGACCACGCCGAGCTGCGACCCATAACGGGTATAATTGCAACTACTACTCAACAATCCCTTTTCCATTCTCTATCTCGCATCGTCTCGCTTCCACTTCATGACATGATTATATGCAGGTCTACCGCATCAAAAGTCTGTCTTTTGTCTCGTGTATTATGTAGCTACCGTGTCATACATGGACATGATCGTCTACGATCTAGCAAATGGGTGCGACGCGCATTATTCTCCCATAACAGCCATAGCGTCAACATTCCAGTTGGAAACAACGGTTCCATAGCACTCAAGTAGGTTGATAGATATACTGCAGAAGACAATACAGCCTCAGTACTGATAGCGAACTAAGAATAACCCTACCTAACTCTAACTCACTGACAAAACCACCCAATGAGCGCGTTATTATCAACCTTCCTGCAGGCCCAATCTTCAACATACCCCATTCTCTACCATCTGGAGATGCTATCCCCCAGGCAGCTGACAGTGACGAAAATGCACCCACTGCAGAAGCCGAGCGACTGTCACAAATAGCGTCCTTCACGTCCTCGACAATAGTAACAGTTAACTACCGCCTGGGTATTTCCCCAGCCACTCCCAACGAACTAACCCTCAACCAAAACCCATACAAATACCCTACACCCATCCATGACACGCTTGCCGGGTTCGACTGGGTCCTGCAGACCCTTCAGCCCCAGCGCCTAGGAATCCTAGGTATGCACATCGGCGGCTCGCTCGCACTTATGCTTTCCCTCACAGAAGCACGATCCATCCACGCAGTAGCGGCCATTGACCCAATTTGCAACTGGACATCGCTTGATGAGCATTGCATTCAACAACCGCCCTCCAATGATGCTGATGGAAATGTCCCAAGCAGCAGCAGTAGCAGAAAAGGCCCCCGCGGAGGAGGAACTGCGCCCCACGACCTTATTCCTCTTCTTAAAGCAAGAAAGGAATACTTTTCCACTCCCGAGAGATATTTCGACGCATTTGCGTCGCCATTGCTATTTCTTCGCTCGCCAGGGAAGAATGTTCCTCGTTTCTTTCCGGAGTATCTTACCGGCCCGGAGTACCCGATCCCTGTTTTGAAGGCGAGAGAAAGTGTATCCACGGAGGATGATCTCATCGATTATTTCTGGGACGTGTATATCGGGGAAGAGGATAGCATGAGTGAGTCAGAGTCTACGGGCAGTGAGACGAAACGAAGTCCTCCTCGTCGGCGAAAGGCGCTCTCCCGATGGCCTCCTTTCGGTCTCGATTACGGGAATAGTGGTCCGGCGTGGCAGAGTCCTAGCCATGGGGTTAAGCGGCTGGAAATGGAACTCCCTTGGGTGAGAATATTTACTCAAGCTGTGCCTGAATCTGAGGACCAAAACGGCAACTCGGAAGGGAGGCAGCACAAAGGGTCCTCTACAAAGAGAAATAAAACGCCCAGTGTGTTGTTACAGCAGGCCCATGACATGGTCGATGTCATGCGAAGATCTTGCTTTTGGGGGCGTGAAAAGGGATACAGCGAGAGGAGAGTGACTCTCACTCGGTACTCGCAGGATGAAAGGGAATTGGCGGGCCTCTGGTTACGGGAAAAGACGTCGGATTGAAGACGTAGTATACTCCTTGCTACGCTGGATATATAGGGCGATAAAATATGCCATTGATTGTTTTTAACGTTGAAAAAAAAAAAAAAAAAAAAAAAACAAAGGAAAACTAGGAAAAGGAAACAAAAAGGAAGCCTCATTCTTCAATCATAAGTTTGTCGTCGGCCTCATCAGCCAGAATTGAGGCCTCCAGGGCCGCGATCTTCTCCTTCCTCTTTAGCTCCTCCTCCTCCTTCTTGATGGCGGCTCGGAGGCGGGCAATCTCCTTCTTCTTTAGATCCATATATTAGAATATGCTTATATTGACTTTATCTTTTTAAGGCGAGTTGATATTACCTTCTCCGCGGCGGACATCTTCGTGATGTCTCTCTGCTCTTTGGCAGGCTTCTTCGGCTTCTCAACCCGGGCACGTTTGCGGGGACCAGCCCCAGAGAAACTCCCCGCGAGGAAAACGGCGTTGTGAAAGATGGCCTATGCACGCCGCCAAGATTAGTATCATATCTTATAATGTAGTTCATATTCTTGAATAGATAAGACATACTTGGGTAGGACGCTCCATCGTTGTTAATAAGGACTTAGTTTCTTGGAGGGAGGGGAAGGATGTGATTGTTACAACAAAAAAACTATGTCCGACTACGGGCTACGACGATCTTTTATACTCTTGGATTTGCAACTAACACAACGATATCAGTGACTATTCTTCTAATAGCACAATAGAAAATCGAACAATGCATTGTGTTACAAACTATTGAGTATTGTTAGCATTTGACTTGTGTTGGTGGATCCTATTCTATTGCTCATAGTGGTTCCCTATTGTTGACCATTGGGAACAGACGAGGTTGGCTATGAGGCTTTGGAACTCATTCATCATCCTCCTCATCGTCGTCGGTGTAGTCGTTGTTGTCGCCCTCCTCTTGCGGGTCGTCGTCATCATCATCATCAGCATCATTATACATGGACTTGTAATAGCCATCCCTCTCCCATTCTTTCGCCTTCGGATTACTCCCAAAACCCTCAATGCCCAATTTTCTGAGACCCATATTCACCTGTCAAGCACCGTTAGCCATCTGAATGTTTGTAACACGCTAGTTTTCATTTATTGCAGGGTGTGACGGAAAGGGGTACGTATCCCACTCACGTCAAACTCCACAACCAAGTTGACAATCTCATCCATTTGGAATACGTAATTAGCGCCATTGAGGAAATCGACACCAATAGGCGCCGAGAAACCGTTTTTTCGGATCAATTGAAAATGGGTTAGCTGCCCATTCACGGTGTTCGTGATCATGAAACCCCGTAGTTCTTGCGCGTCTAATATCACCTCAGCTCCCGGGAAGCGGTAATTCGTGTCATGATCATCAGCCCAATCGGGTCGGCCACCACCGTGATCATCGACTTCTTCCACAATCACCAACGATCCCGGAATTTTTGCCCCTAGAAGGATGCTCGGCCCGCTGGCTCGAATCAATTCCAGGCCTCGGATGGTAACCACCTGGTCGCCAAAATCTGCAAATGCCGAAACTCCGATCTTTATCAAATCGGGTGGGATCTTGACGGTTTGTCGATAGTTGGTCTCCGGCCACATGGTATTATGATAGTACTGCAATGCACGTCCGCCAAAGTCCATGAATGATGCGAATGGGCCTCTGGACTTGTGTATCACAGCCTCTCTTATCCATCGGTTGGTCTCCCAAAGTCGGATCGTTATGTCGAAAAGCCGACTGCATCGGAGTGTACATGTACTGTGATATAGCAGTCGCCAGTCAACATCCCTATTCTGATGCTCCTTCACGAGATAGCTTAAAAATCCACGTTCTCCATTGATATCGAATCGCGTTTTCCAGAATTTCTGTTGATGAAAGAGCATACCCATGGATCGTGATGCAAGACGGCTATTAAGGTAATCCCGCGTTGATAGATAATCTCCAAGTAACTCGATTAGCTCGACAGGAAGCCGCCTAAAGCAGTCAGTTGCATTGCAACTTCTCTTGAGCTTGTTCTGGATTTCAGCTGCGCATTCAGGCTGTTCTCGCTTGGATTGTAGAAGGTGTATCAGGAGAGGTGCCTGATACGGCTCGATACCATCCATGTAACGAATATACGACGAAGCACCTATGAGTTGGACCTGTATCAGCCTGAAGAATGGAAATTGGTCAATGTGCTCCCCCCCCTAGGTCAATGAAATGTTGTGCAAGGGAGTTAGGCAGGCAAACCATATCCAGCCGGAAATGGAAGTCTTTTCAGTACATCATAAAGGGCACTATAATCAACATTGTCCCCTGCGAAATGCTGTGCCAACCTCTGCCAACATATCTCATGGAAGAAATATATATTTCGTGGCCAACACGGCAGGTCAGACACCGTGCAGAAATCGCTCCCGGTGGTGTCCCAGCGGTTTTCGGGGTCTATGGGGACCTTGAGAGGGTCGGAATTTTTTCTGTAGCCGATGCCACTCAACTTGATAGAACCAGCAGCCTGATAGACTGTAGTTGTTCGTCGAACGGTAGTCAGTATGATGTATCCCCATGAAATCCCAATCCCGCCATTTACTTACGGGCTCGATAGGGGGCACGCCACACGCCCTTGTTGTCGTATAAAAAGTCCCCACAAAGTATGCATTGTGTGCCGTTGAGATAATAATCAGGCTTCATTGGCATGTTAGGCTGCAAGCCTCGTGGGGGATGCCAACGTGGACGGGACATGATTTGATGTGCTGTAATCTTAGGAAGTACAATGTCTCTTTCTGTTGTTGGGTGGCTCTGTAGAGGAAATACTCTTAAGGCCCTAGGTCAGTTCGGATGTGCAATCCTCCGTATAGATCATAATTGAGTCAGGGCAAGCGGCGCGATATTCCGGTCACTCACATCGATCCCTTGGTAGATCTGACCTTTGGGCCCGGTTATTTGGGTTTTGGACCCCCATCTGGGCCACTGAAATGTATCTAATGGAGGGCATTAAACGGAGGACTGGTTGCGCTACCCGAAAACCACTTCGCCTGGCTCCTCGTCTGCGTCGCAGACATTTCTTAACTTCTGAAGCAGCGGGTTCGTAATGTGAAGTAGTTGGAGTATGTCGTTATTGTCAGTTAGGACATTCGAGCTATCCCTCCAATAAGACCAAATACATTGCTTCGCATTACCCCAAACCACTGCTAATTAGCAATGTATACACGAATGCTTGGGTTTGTTGTAGCCCTCTCTGTCACAGTAGAGACCACTCATATCGGTTCACAGGCGCGTAGATTAAGTTAATCATTGTTTTCCACGCTCTTTCCAATCGAAGCCCCTGCTAGTGATAAATTGCAGTTGATATAAACCACCAAGGTCGGATATAATGAAGCCTTTCCCTTTATGTATGTTGTTATTATTCCTTCGTGGCAGATAAAGAAACTGAAAACCTAGTACAGATGATTGATATGGCCATTTTGTAACTCTGGTACATACTCTGCTAACTTTCTCTTAAGTATCCTTAGCCCATTTCCTCCCTGCACAGAATTTGCGATTACAAGCTTGCTGGTGGGAGGCTTCGCATTCTGAATCAGCTAAGCCTCTATTGGCAGTACTTGCTCTATTTCCCGTCCAAGTAGGCATGGTATGGGACTTACTTGAATTGGTTTTCATATGGTACGGGCTTATAGAGAACCTTCAAATGCTATATTTCTCCAGAAGCGGATGTCTCTTGTGCTGTTTGAATATCGCAGGCATAGAGAGTATGTTTCTCATCCCACTTACATATCCGTGGTCCCCATTACACGGTGGTATCCACCACTGAAGCATACCAAAGAAGGAACAACATGAAGGTGACCTCTCTGTATAACATCGACCCAATACCGGAGCTCTCTGCTCCCGGACAAGCCGGAAAGAGGGTGCCCCAGTTCGGTCCAGCCGAACAGGGGGGAAACTGACACAGACGTGACAAGCGACGACACCAAGCCCGTAGTCATGGTAAAGGAAAAAGAAGTATGTCCCAAGTGCCAGCCCCATTTGCCGTAGCAAAGCAGGAACAACTACCTCAGTAATTGTTCCCTCGACCCTCAATCGTGCTCTTTTTCAAACGAAGGATACTCTGAATCCGATAAGCATCGGCACTCAAATCCAACACCGTAGCACCGGGAGCCCAATCCCTACGGTCGGTAAGCAGGGTATTTCCATTTATAGGCAAATAGAAAAACCGAACTCGTGTACCAACTGCAGCGATTCCGTACATGGTCTGCACGGTTGTTGCATTGCTCCTAATGGTCACCATATTGTCCTGAAGCTCTTGACGGACCGAATTCCATTTGAGAGTGGTCGGCTCCGTCATGGTCGGCCGCTTGGCTTCAACCACGATGACCTTATCTAGGACGTTGTTCCTGACATGGCTTACAGATACGTTAGCCCTTCTGTTCGAATTGCCGGGGTCGACAAGCGCTTCCCTTTCAAGAGCAAAATCGGGGGTCCCGAAGCAATGAGCGAGGATGTTCAACCATGCGTGGTCAACTACCTCCTCGTAAGCCCCCTGACTTATTGCAATTTGCGTTAGATACGCCTGAATGGCAGGACACTGGTCGTATGTCAGGAGGTACGGAAGGGCCTGGGCGGTCCGCTGAGCGTGCTGAGCGTTCTGCATGATGATTCGTCTGTACTATAGAGAGCCAGCTCTCGTTTCGAGATCTTATCGTCTTTTTTTGTGCTGAAACTGCTAAAAAAGATTGCAAAGTAGTCGAATCTGGAGAGAAGAACGGACTTTAGATTACTCGTTCTCTCTATATATACTTGAAGTCACATAGTAATTCACTCCCAGTTCTACTTTCAGTGTTTCTGATTCAAGATACTACTACGAAATACCCACTCATAACACATAAAACACATGAGAAGCCGACATGTCATTCAAGTAAACCAAGGATTACAGTTTAAATCAGCTGCACAATGTCTTCTCCACAACGGGGGGTCTATCGAAAGAACAGTTAAGTCGTAACACTCGCTATTGATAAACGAGTGTCTCCTTGATGCGTCTGTGTGTGACTACGCTACAGGATCCATCACAATCATACCTTCTCAAGGTGCCGCAAAACGAGGTAGAGAAGGGTTCGATTTTATGAGGCGAGTGGCCGCGTAGGTAGCAGAGATGTTAGAAGATCTTGTGGTGCCTGGCTACAACTATGAACAGTGCTCTAACATACATCTCTAAGCCACCTGAAAGATCCATACCTATGAGAGTGTCGTACTGTGTTATGCATAATTTCTTGGGCCTAAGAAGCGACCGAGCGATCTAATGGACGAGAGAGAGATGGATGAGTGTTATATGTTAACCGGTGATGTTAATTGTTGACGCTTAGGGCTTGATCATATCATCCTACGAATGTAGCACCCCTTGCTGGAAAGCACAGACGTGTAGATGTTCTTTACGTACACTGTAGAGACTGTCTGCTGATAGCTTTTTGAGACGACTTGGAACAAGAGTAAATACAGACAGAAATGGGCCCACGCATTCGGTTATTGCCTATACAACTTCACGTTCATTCAGTAGCTGCGCTCGCCGACGGGTCATCCATGTCAAGTGACGCCTCGACATCATCCTCCGGCACGGGACGCAGAACCTCCAGAGACAACTGAGGATCTTTCGAGTAAACCCGCAAGCCAACCACACAGACGGCATTCCATGGATCGCTATTGGCATCGCCTTCGCCGGCGCTGCTAACGGATTTGACTGGTGTGCGGATTTCTTCAACTGGCTCTTCGTCAGAAGACATATCGAGTTCAGAGTCAAATTCGAATCCCTCCAGGAATTCAGCGTTTGCAGCATGATCTGAAGAAGGCTTCTTGACCCGGACGGATAGAGAAGTCTTGCTTTTGCTTCGAACGCAGTGGTCCGGGACATGACCGTCCTCAAGTGAGACAGAAGGTATAGAGGCTTTCCCAGGGAGCTTAAGTTCGTTGACGGGTGGTTGCACGGGCCCATCGGGAACAACTTCCTCAGACGGGCTGTCTTCCCTGATAAGTTGTTGCTGTTTTTTGCCATATTTAGTAGCGAGTCTTGCATCGAGTCTCTTATGTCTGGCTTCGAGCTTCCTCGCCCGGACCCACTCTTTCTGCAATCTCTCCTTAGTCTCTTCTCTCTGTTTCCTGCGTTCAGCTGCTTTTCGCCGGTCTTCGCGTTCTTGTCGTGCTCGTTTCTCCTTTTCGGTTTCGTGAACGATACCCTTTGCGTGCGCTAGGTCGTAGGAAAGGCCGATTTGAAGTAGTTTGCTGCGCCGAGTGGGAGCTAGTCGACGGACGACTTCTTCGACAGGGAGCTTCTCTTTGTTTCGGTATGCTGTGACTTTCATGAGGACGTGGTAGCGTCCGGCTTCGAGGTCGACTTCGACATTAACGGATCGCCACATTAGCTCGTTGCCGTGGCTGCGAACGAAGTAGTCGTCTTCGCCTTCTTTCTGGAGTCGGAATTTGAGGTCGAAGTCGTATTCGCCGGATAGACCTTTGTAGTATCGTTCGTCGAGCTTGGGGGTATGGTTAGTTGAGTTAGGAGGGTTGAGGTTATGGGTTGTGCGCACCTGGGAGAGAACGATCACGGCAGGTCCAGCTGTCTTCACATCTAGTACAAACTTTGTGCTGTGGTACGTTGCCGACCATGGGACATTCAGGCTCGTCCATTGCTGGGTCACGGTCCAGTCGTCGTTGAAAAGACGGATTCGGTCGAAGTGTTGGTATTTCTTGAGGAGGTCATCGTAGGAAATCCAGAAGAACTTGTGATTGTGAGTATAGCTTCGAATGAGGAATGTGGGTGACCTACGCCGTCATTGCCAAACCTGTGTCCCAGTTTCTCCATCCATTCTGGTGTCCATTGCTCGGAGCCATCGCTCCACGCTCCTGTCCATTCCTTTTTACCCCAGGGGTTTCTGGATCGTGTAAGCTATCTTTCTATTGTAGAAAAGTGCTTATACGTACCTTAGCCGTAGCAAACGCTGACCATCAACTTCCCTCGCTTCCATAATCGAGTATGAATGGTTCTCACAGATCCCTTTCCTATCTCTCGGAGGCCCAGTATATTCCGGCTCCAGCCAGTTGGCAAATATGCCCGTGCCGCAGCCGAAGAGAAACTCCTGATTGACGTGCATGAGCTCTTCTTTCCAAAACCGGTCCTTATCCAGAATGTTGCTGGTGAGTACGTCAGATGTCACACCCCCGGTGAGGTCCTCGAGCGCCTCCCTGGAAATTGTTAGCGTTTGAGTGAAATAGGTATCTGGGACTGTTTTACCCAACAAACCCGCCTTCAATGGCGGAATAGTCGCCATGAGCTTTAGCATAAGCCTTTTCCAGCAACGGCAGCCAGGTCTCATTTTCATCTGCGCATTGAGCGAAATAAAGAGCCCGCGACCCAGTCTGCCAAACTTTACGATACTCTTCCTCTGTATCGATTCGATTGATATCATCCCAGATTGATCGTTCCTCTACAGACTCGTCGTAATCGGCGGCACGAAGATAAAGTTTGTCATCCACGATGCATTGCTGCCATTCACCGTCTAGGAGGAGATTAGCGTTTTAATGCCCTTCAATCCGGACAATAGCTCACCTCTGTAGAACAAGAACCCATACACTCCAATTTTCTCATTGCGAGCGACACAGATCTTCTCGATCAACCCTTGTTTGTTGCCCATGGTACACAGCGCAGCCATGAACCAACAGTCGCCATCGCGACCTTGACGAACGTCCGAGGCAGTGGGCCCGTTAATGTAGAATTCCGGTTTCTCGAATATTTCCTTCGGAAGATAACTCCATCAGCAAGTGTCTCATCTCATGGACCATACTCTCGAGCCAAGATATCGTTACCGTTACTCTCTTGACGCCCCGTGGAAGCATCTCTAGGTTCTCCTCATCCAAACCTTCTAAATAATTCCTCCTCCGGCATTTCAAGTCGACCTCGATGTCGAAGTGGGGATCGGTGTACTTCTGATTCAATCGCTCACATTCCCTTGCAATACGCTCCACAGCGCGCTGACACTCCGCCCGAGCCTGCTCATACGACTTTGAGGCATGTTGTCCCTGGACTACACCCGAGGGCGTCCTGGCAGCTTTGTTGCGCGCATACGGATTGTCTGGTAGAACTGTATGAACCAAACCTGGAAATTTGGAATTAAAGCCATTCCAGAACTGCTGCATTGTTTCCTGTGGTGGCTGGGTTGGCCTTTTGCGCATGCGACTCTCTGATCGTGAGGAAGGAGGAGGGGTATAGACCAAGTCTTGATGGTCGTCGCAGTCCATGATTAGAGTTATTTATTATATGAGCGGCGAGAATAAAAAGACACTCTTTGGTAGTTGAATAATTAACCGGACGAGGGAATATGAACACGAAGAGGATAACTACCAATGCTTCAACTCATGCTTGCATTTTCAGCGCACACGCCCCGCCTTAATAGTCAGGAGTCCTCGAGGACCCCTCGTGTCTCTATCCGAGGCTGAGCAAATCATAGTTAACCTGCTTGACCCTGGTAAGCATCAAAGCGCCCCTAAAGCACCGCCAATAACGTTAGCCAATAGGCATACTTGATTCTCACTGCTTTTGCCGCCGCCGGGGGGTAGCTAGCCTTGCGCGATATAGCCATATGTGATCAGCTGGCAGCTGAGGGATCAGCGGAGTCGCATGCACGTTTATGCACGCTTTTCATGGTGAAACAGACTACAGCCGTTCGTGTTGGCAGACTGCTGTGTGGTATGGGCTGAGACTCTGCTTGTAAGCATCTTATGCTTGAAACCCTGTTACTGAAAAGCCACGGATTTGATAGATGCCGTGCTTACGGGCCAAAAGAGTCAGACACACTGGCGTCAACTCACATTCAGCTAGATTGTCGCTATCAGTGGTTATTATTAATAGAAGAGTCAAGCGCTTGCATGCAAAATATGAGGGGTCCCTCCAGCGGTAAAGTAAGCGCTCGGACACGGGATCATCGGTTCGGCTGGCTCTCCTAACTCCTTGGGTTGGAGAGGCATCTCCACCTTCGCGATTGAGGAAGAAAAGGTAAATTCCGAGGCTGCTGAGGTCGTTGCAAGGTGTGAAGGAAATAGAAGTCCGAGCCGTGGCCGGATAGGACCGAGTCTTGGTACACCACGTGGATGTCATGGGGCCAGGACCAGGGGAAGAGAAAATACGAGCCGCAAGGCTGCCTCATATTTCGGGAGTTGATGGATGTCACACCCATAATATTGCTATTAAAAGAATGCTATTTTTCTTTTGGCAGTTACTCATTTATGGGTATGTACGCATAACTCAAAAACACTCCTTGTAATATCCAGTATCCTGATCTCGTCCCTTCCAGACCACTCCGCAAGCAACGCCATGAATAAAAGAACACATACAAACAGAAGGAAAACCTAGGGCATCACAAAAGATATAAAAATAGAGATACTGGGAGAAGTGCAGGCACTGAGCCTGTAAAAAAAACCTGGTCGGACCTGAATAACGTCCATTGCATCTGCCGCATTTGTCCACATGATACGTACACCAACACTAATGGATGATGCGCAAGGTAGACCGGCTAGTTGAAGCCATTCCTACGGGCACGTCCTGAGTAGTAGGCACTGCCGTTCCGGAAGTAGGGATGCATGCAGGCCTGCTTGGCAGAAATTCGTCGTGCAGGATCATACTCGAGAAGAGCATCGAGGAGGTCCAGACCATCCTCTTCAAGGTCAGGAACGAGTGCACGGGTTTCATCACGTTTCCACTTAGGGAAAGTGGGTTTGAAGTCGGGGAAAGAGGTGACGCCGGGCCAGATGGCTTCATCCGGGGTACCGAGGAGACTGTGATCCAGGGAGGTTAGATGTTGGGCTGTTCGCACGAGAAAAGAAGGGAAGCATACCGGAAGATCTTGAAGATCTCGTCGATCTCCGAATCACCAGGGAACAAAGGCTTGCGAGTGCACATCTCCGCGAAAATGGCACCACAGGACCACATGTCTACGCCGGTCGAGTACTGACGACCACCCAAGAGAATCTCAGGGGAGCGGTACCAAAGGGTGACAACCTGAGGAAGGTCAATAACACGTTACCATGAGACAGGTCTGATACGTTGTAGAAATACCTCATGGGTGTAGGTTCTCAGGGGAACACCAAAAGCTCTAGCCAATCCAAAGTCCGCCAGCTTAAGATTGCCATCACGGTCAATCAGGAGGTTCTGGGGCTTGAGATCACGGTGTAGAATACGGTGGCTGTGGCAGTAACGAATACCCTCCACTAGCTGAGCCATGAACTTCTTGACCATGGCATCGCCAAGACCCATGTTCTTGCTCAAAGCAGAGCCTTCCGGAAGAGCTTTGCCTCGGCCACCTTCGCTGACAGGAAGAGCCTCCATATACTTCTTGAGGTCGAGATCGAGGAATTCGAAGACGAGATATAGCTTGTGGCCATCGGCATGCACAATGTTCAGGAGTCGCACAATGTTGGGATCGCTCATCTCCTTGAGTAGGGAAATTTCACGGATGGCTGTGCTAGGAACGCCTTCATCCTCCGCCTCTAGTCGAATCTTCTTGAGGGCGACAATCCGATTGGGATGGGTGAGCTCGCGAGCCTTGTAGACAACGCCATAGGTTCCTACAACAAGCAGATTTGAGTCAGTCTCGGATCCAAATAGAGGGAGGACGATCGGATAAGAGTCGGATCAAGAGAAAGTACAATTGTTATCGGCCTTGAGGTGGACGTACCTTCTCCAATCTTCTCGATCTTCTGGTAGTTCTCCATGATGAAATATGTCGCCGATTTCCTTGCTTCCTCACAAAATCACTTTAATCTGATATATCCGGATAATTGAACTGAGCGTACACAGCGTGTTGTCCTGTCTACCAGCACGCGGGGTACAGGAAACAAAGGAGGCTGCACGACGACGGCGTTGGGTTGCCGGGGAAGAACAGAAGGCGTCAAGCAGAATGCGAGGAGTTTGGGGGCACAATGGAGTTGACAGCAAGCGAGGCAGGAGTCGATTCCCAAATAAGAAGCAGACTCAAGGGTCCAAAGAGCGAAACCAGCCTCGTCCCGAGCGTGACTTACCTTAAACTTACCTGGAATGGGCTATGAAATCTGAAGCAGTTCAACTTGGAGTCTTTTCATCCCTGCTGGTGGGGAGCCCAAGGCGGTCAGCAACGGCCGTACACAAACAAACCCGCGCGTCCCAAGGCGGTGAGCGCGTGGACAGCTGACCCTTTTTTTGTTGGTTGCCGCCAGTGGCTTTTTTTTTTTACCGCTTCAAGTTGGAAGTTTGGAACGAGCCCGCCGGATGGCAAACTTTCATTCTTTCCTCACGATCAAAGTTATCCAGATCGGTTCATCCACCTACAGGAAGGCGGAGTCTCTGGGCTTTCACGTAGATATGCAATAGTCTGGACAAGTCTACGTGGACTAACACTACTACTGCGGCTGTCTATTGACTTATGAGTTGTCAGCTGCATAGTTTATCCTAATGCCGCATATCAAGGATTTGAACGCCCATGAGCGTCCCCCAGAGGGCATCAAGCAGCGTTATAAGCAATACCAGAAGTCCACGCTTACGGAGATAGAGTCTGACGACAATATCATCGATCTGCAGTCCTTGGACCCTCAAAATCTCCCAGAGGAAATCTCCTTAACGCAATGGATTTCCAGCGCAGATTTTGAGCCTGTATTTGACCAATTCCTCGGCACGAACCAGGATCTGCGGGGTGCTCGGCCTGCTAGGGATGTCCCTGTTTTCAGCCATCGTGCTATTTCCGGTTAGCATTATTGCCCCATGGCACTCCATTGTAGAAAACCTCTGTTGACATGCTGTAGGTCTGCAAGTGATTCCCTCGTTGCTTCCACCCGCAGTTCAGGTCGAGTTGTTATCTCGTCTGTTCCACCGGGATTTGTCTAACCCCCGGCATCAAACCAACCTTCATCTGCACTATGATATCACCTATCCTAGTGCGGTGAACGAGGTTGAAGCGGTCTCGGCCGATATTAGTCCAGTAGGCGCTTATCCTCCGTCTTTCTTTGGAGATGATCCAGCCCGTGCCATAGAGCCTAAAGATCCAAATGTGCACAAACCACTTACTGTCCAGAGCATACTGAACAGAAAGCTACGCTGGATTACTCTAGGTGGCCAATATGATTGGACCGCCAAGGTGTACCCGTCGGAGCGCCCTCCCGAATTCCCCAGGGATATTGCAAAGCTCTTGCATGCGATGTTCCCTGCCACTGAAGCTCAGGCTGCTATTCTCAATGTCTACTCTGCTGGCGACCACCTCAGTCCCCATCGCGACGTCAGTGAGGATTGTGATGTAGGCTTGATCAGTGTCAGCTTTGGTTGCGATGGCCTCTTTTTAATCAGTCATGACGATGGCGAAAATTGTGAGATTATTCGCCTTCGCTCCGGGGATGCGGTGTACATGGATGGCACCTCACGTTTTGCCTGGCATGCAGTACCGAAGATTGTGCCGAACACCTGCCCTGAGTGGCTTGCTAATTGGCCATCAAGCCCGCATGATGGTGCAGCTACCCAGTATGATGCTTGGAGAGGGTGGATGTCGGGCAAGAGAGTTAACCTCAACGTTCGACAAATGGAATCTGCGAAGCCTCATGATTGAATCCGAAGCAAAGTCTTACAAAGCGCAACTGTGATGGGCTCGACCAGGTGCAGCATAGCTTTGAATATATGCGACGAGCGACCATGGGCAGCTTATCAAGCTGCGCAGTTCTTCAAAGCCAATGGAGGGATGGACGGCACTATTCTATACCGCAGGAGCAAGGAACTAGTGCATCTATTCTTTCGAGGTTTATCTTCTCCAATACTCATGCATATTGAGTGTGGGAAGTACGCCAATGCTCTCTGGAAATAGGAGCTTTTACCCAAGACACGTGGGTTAAGAGTCGGGAACCCTGCTGTCGGCAGGGTGGTATAGCTGGTGAGATAGAACCTTGGTCCAGCAGGCTGGCTTGGGTATTTACTGTTCGATGTAGCATATAGACCATATAGAAGGTCGTATATAGTCATGCCCAGAATTGTGACATTTTGAAATACCCGAAATGCGGAATGCATATTCCGCAGCAGCATCTTACAATATAGCGGGGTAGCAAATGCCTGTCAGCTTGGCATTCCATCCATCCATCCATCTGCCAGCATTCATTCAAGCCCATCTCTATCTCTCCCAACCAATGCAGAATCTCCAAATGTGGCCGCTCCGTATCTCCTTCCTATCTGATTGATAGAATAAGTCTGAACACTATCTGTCTCCGGGCCTCAAACAAACTAACTAGTCCCCCAAGGAAGGACGATAAGCAAGATATACTCCGCGCCATTGGTTCCACTTCCTGCAATCCCCCGCCTTCATATGATTGACGAATAGAAGGGATAGGTAAGACAACGGGATGATCATCCCACCGAACGCATTGATAAGATCCCCTGGTCCACCCCTCTTCCATCACCGCCCAACTCCTCAACACACACTCCTCCCAACAACAACAAGAACAACAACCCCTACGATTTTCAAAATGGCCCTCACACCCTGGGAACAAACCGCAGCAACCAAACGGCAATCCGTCCTCGCCGCCATCCCCGAGAAATGGCGCATCAAGGGCCCCATCCCCTCTCCGACAGAGCAGCGCGACGTAACAGGCCCCTACATCCAGCAGTTCCTATCTCCGCGCGAGATTGAAATCACCGAAACAGATGCCGTAGGAATCACAGAGCGCACCACAACGGGTCAGTGGACGGCTGTGGAGATTACCGAGGCGTTCTGCCATCGCGCAGCGTTGGCGCATCAACTTGTACATTTCCCATACACAAGGAGTGCTAGTATTCTCTCGTCGACTAAACAAGAAATAGGTATACTGCCTACACGAGATCTTCTTCGACGCCGCGCTCGAAACTGCCCGTGTGCTCGACGATCACTACACCAAAACTGGAAAACCACTCGGTCCTCTCCATGGCCTGCCCGTCAGTCTGAAGGATCAATTCCATGTAAAGGGCGTGGAAACGACAATGGGTTACGTCGGATGGATCAACACCTTCCAAGGCAAGACGGATGATCCGCGCTATCTCATTCACGAAAGTGAGCTCGTTAAAGAGCTCCGCGCTGCCGGGGCAGTACTTTATTGCAAGACCAGCGTCCCCATGACGTTGATGTCAGGTGAAACTATGAACAATATCATAACCTACACGCATAACCCCAAGAACAGACTCCTCAGTTCCGGGGGTAGTTCTGGAGGTGAAGGAGCGCTGATTGCTTTGCGGGGGTCACCGGCAGGATTTGGTACGGACATCGGAGGGAGTATCCGTGTTCCTGCGTCGTTTAACGGACTGTATGGGATACGGCCGTCAGTGGGGAGAATGCCGTATGAGGGAGCGGCTAACTCTGGAGATGGACAGAATACAGTGTTGTCGGTTGTAGGGCCGTTGTCTTCGTCGGCGAGAGGGTTGGTCCTGTTGTTCAAGACGGTATTAGGGGCGAAGCCGTGGCTAGGAGACCCCGGTGTGTTGGAGATCCCTTGGAGGGAGGATATCGTAGAAGAGACGAGGAAGCTGGTGCAGGGACAGCCAGGGGGGCTAGCCTTTGGGATCTTTTACGATGATGGGCTGGTAAAACCGCAGCCACCAGTTGAAAGGGCCATGCGCATCGCTGCAGAGACGATCAAGAGTCTAGGACACAAGGTGAGTGCCCTCCTCCTCCTTCTTAGTTGCAACACTGCTAATACTCATCCCAGCTCATCGACTGGCAACCCCCCTCTCACCAAACAGCCGCCTCCATCGCAGTAAGCCCCTCCCCCATATCCAACTACCCACCCAAAACACTTGATATCACTGACAACCATCCCAAGAACCGCGCCTACAACCTCGACGGCGGCGCCGACGTCCTCCAAAACTTCGCCCTATCGAACGAAACAATCCACACCTCCGTAGTAATCGACATCTCGGGATCCCCACAAAAGACCGCACTCGAGATCGCCGCCCTAAACGTCGAGAAGCGCGAATACCAGAAACAGTACCTCGACTACTGGAACAGCACGGCGCAAGTCACAGGGACTGGCCGGCCCGTCGACGCGGTCATTTGTCCGGTGGCGCCGCATGCGGCGTGCATTCCGGGCAAGTATGCGACGATCGGGTATACGGCGTTTATTAATGTGTTGGATTATACGAGTGCCGTTGTGCCGGTGACGTGTGCTGATCGGGGGGTGGATGTTTTGGGGACGGAGGGGAGGGAGTATTTTGGGGAATTGGATAGGAGGACGGAGGGGGAGTGTAAGTTATTTCTTCTTTTTCCGTTTCTTTTTTCTTGGGGTTGTTTGCTGTCGATGAGGTTGGGGCTATGTGCTGACTGGATGTTGCTATCTAGACGATGCGGATGTGTTTGATGGGGCGCCGGCTGGGATTCAGCTCTTTGGAAGACGGCTTCAGGAGGAGAAGATTCTGGTTCTGGCCGAGTATCTTGGTGAGGAAATTAGGAAGGCTAGTGCTTGATCATAGCTAGTAGTGTGGGAATCAGTCAATAGCTCTAATTATATTGAAAGAATTGCGGTGACAACACAGGTTTTGTGAGAACCAAAGAAATATACAACGAAGCCGAAAAATGTACAGTCGCAGGTATCATAGCATCATTATGATTTTACCATCCCTCTAACGGCGTTATTTTTACCAGGACCCCGTCCTTCGGGGTGACTGTTGCGGCTTCACGGAGTATGAGCTCTTTATTGGGATCCTCGAGTTCGAACTGAAATTTCCCAACAAATGTGGCCAGCAAACAAGCCAGCTCAGCTTTGGCAAAGCCCTGCCCAATGCAACTGCGCGGGCCATGTATGAATGTCAGAAATGCGTAGTTGCTGGTGGCACCGCCGGTGTTGGCCTTGCCGGGGCCCAGCCACCGGTCGGGATTGAACTGGTCCGCATCAGGACCCCAAAGGGATTTATCGTGGTTAGTCAGTGCGGGCACAATCTGAATTACCGTATCCTTAGGAACCCTCTGCCCGCCGATTGTGGTGTCTTTATTGGCGATGCGAACAGTGTTCGGTACGGAAGGATGGAAGCGGAAGACTTCCTGGCAGACAGCATGGAGGTAAGGGAGGGAGTCGAGAGTGGCGGCGGATATGGATTCGGGGTTTTCGACCGAAATAGAGGGCAAGTTGGCGCGAATCTCCTCGCGCAGGCGGGTTTGAATGTCAGGATACTTGGAAAGGGCATACACACACCATTGCAGTGCTCCCGAGGTGGTTTCGTGACCGGCTGCGAGGAAGGTCATCATCTGATCGATGAGCTCCTCATCTGTGAAACCGCCGCTCTCTATTGCTACAGAGAGAATGTCCACTGCGTCCGTGGTTTGATGCGCTTTTTCGCCTTCAACTGACTGTCGAGCGTCGTGGATCATTTCTTGTGCAACGTTCCGAATGTAAGCCGCACTTTCTCTGATATAACGGTTGCGCTTGAATGGCAGCTTGTGGACCAGGTGAGGGACGTTGAGAAGGAGTCCAATAACAAAGAGGCCTTTTTCCATGTGCGTGGGGGGTACACTGTTGAGTTTATGGTATGCGGCTGCCAGCTTGTTGGTTGGATTCTGGAGAGAATCAAAATCGCGGTTCATGCCCGCAAGACCAATAATGTCAAGTGTTGCTCTGCTGCTCCAAGATGCTACGCGGATGACGTTGTCTGTCGGGTTAGCACGCTGTTGCAGGTCTGCTTCAATCAATTTCACCATCTCAATGCCCTTTGACCAGAAGATCGGATATAGATTCTTGATGTGGCGATATGAGAACGCAGGCATAAGCAGCTTCCGTTGTTGCTGAACGATACCCAAATCAGTTATAACGTATGTAGATAAGATAAATCAATGGTCATCCGACCCACCTTATGTTCGGCACCCTCTACTAGAAGCACGCCATGTTCCCCAGTGATGCGGCCAAGAGATCGTCGGACGATTTTAGGTTTCTCAAAGTCATAGACTTTCTGGACAAGTATTTCGCTCAAGGCTTTGGGGGTTGTTGCTATCGTTCGCTCGAGGTTTCCCCCCAAGTAGAACCTGATCAAGCCATCGTTCGGTATTTCCTGGTTCCATCGACGCATCCTGTCATAAGGGTTTACCAAGACGAATGAGCCATTGTTTCCGGTGAACCATGCTCGACCCTGCATAGAAGCCACATTAGAGAAGTCTCCATAGTCAGGGAGACCGAGTGAAGAGAGCTTACCGGAGGAGTTGGTATATGCTTGATCGGGGTGAAGTAGACAGGATAGAGCACCAGGCGGTAGAATATTCTCAGGACGAGGGTGACTGCAGAGAGTAGAAGGAAGTCCCGGAATGTCGATCGGAAGTAGGAATATATAGCGATACCGACGTGAATGGTGTTCCACGGTATTCCCGCCATGGTGGGAGCGACCGGATGTCGCTATAAACTGATGTGATGGACACGTGGGAATGAACCAGATGCAAACACGCGAACTGACAGCGAGAATGAACGCTGAGGACAGTAAGATTGGGGTGAAAGAACAATAGTATATAAATACAGAGCGACAGGCAAAGTACTTGACCACTGTTGATGTTGGCGGGACAGCCAGCAGTGAAAGTATCACGACCACTGGCAGCTTTATATACTAGTACATCGTGAGACAAGTGGACCAACGATCACGAGCCGGAGCTTTTCCGTCTGACGGTTCTGACGAAGCTGCGGCGCGATCCAGCCGGCTGGGGCAATAACGGCACCTTGGAGTGCTTGGACACGATGGGCCGACCAGGTGGATAATAGATCATCGGCATAGCGCGGTGCTTATTCGATGAAACTGAGTTGGTGGATGCCTGGATGAGTTTCCACCATCAGCAGCCACAGTGAGCGGCTCCCGATGCAACCCGGGTTGGGGGTTAGAAGCAATGAGAGCCAGGAGGTCGGCATCGGGATTTGATGGGCCGTGACCCTTGGCGAGCCATGGTACTGTGTACATATTGAAGGATAGATGGGCATAAGTAGGGATTAGACTGTCGCAGGCTCGGCAGGGAGAGAGAGACGTCATTAGGAAGAAAAGCTTAGTACTCAAAAGTAACCGTCGCGAGGCTAGAAAATGTTTCATTGGTGAGGCGACACGTGGGTCAGTGCCTCAGGAGCAACTTGCTCAATCAGTAGTAGTACGTAGTATCTTGACTCAACCATTTAGTTTCAAGTAGCACTGCGTAGTATTAGGTACAACCAAGCGACAAGCAAGATGAAGTCGCACCAAGTCAGTGCTGGTGGATTAACATCGCAGTTGCCGGTTTGGGAAAGGCGTGTCACCTGCATGACGGCCGCTATTTTTAATCCCCGACCAACAAATGGTCCGCAATGTTTGCCCAATTCGGAAACCAGCCCCCGTTTCATTCCTTGGAGCCGACATCCCTTTAGTGGGGTGGCTAGTACATATACAGTAGTAGATAGGTGGTTGGATGGATATCGCCAAAACCAAAGCATAGCATGCTCATTATGATTGTGGAACCTTAGTGGACAATAACAGCCAGGCTGGTTATATGCAAACGCAATCTCCATCCCCCATTAACATATCATTATAGTTCTCCTTATCCAGCCATCAACCGGCCATATCTATCCCAGCTTTTCCCAGCTAACTATTCACAGCCGCTCTGGCAGTTTCGAAAATACATACCCGAAAATTTCTCGACTCTTGTACAGATTCTCCACCCGCAACCGTTCGTTGTACAAATGGGCGTTATCACTGGCCTGTCCACACGGCAGGTTCGCCGCCGGCGCAGAGAACTCCTTCTCCAAGAAACGTATCGTCGGGATTGATCCACCCTCCCGGATATAGATGGGCCGCACGCTGGACCCAGACCGTCCTCCCACCGCCGAACTGGACGTTTTCTCCCCGGTAGCCTCGGGGGTTGATGTGCCAGCAGGCTCATCGGTGACAGATGCCCCTGACTTGCTGGCCAGCGTCGAGGATGTTGGCACCGTCGTGCTCAAGGATGATCGCTGACGAGCCGTTTTCTCCGCCGAGGAAGTCGTTGTCGACATGATGATCCGGTCAATGTGAGAGGCCAGGCTATCGCCGGAGTCCTTGCGCTGAAGGCTGGGCCGCTCCTTCGACGGCTTAGGAGTTGTTGACTCTGACGCCTCCCGTTGAATGGGAGGGTATGCATATCTTTGGGGCTTGTTTGTTGGTGACCAGGCAGCGGTGATTGCTTCAGCCAAGGTCTCGAAGATTTCATTGTCGGGATCTCCCAGCCACGGGTCCGATTTGCCCGTGATCTCGACGGTCAGATCGTTCTGCGATTCCAATCGATCAAACTGCTCTTGCACAAACAGAGTCAGGTTCGTGGCCACCTCATCTGCCTCTTGGTTCGGCACCAGTCGAATCGAAAGGCTGGCCTTGGCTTTGCGGGAGATTGTCGTGGTTGCGCTTTTACTGCTTCCAGGTACCTCGACTGCATGGATTGTGAGGGACGGCTCCCTCCAGCGGTGCATGAGCGACTTGATCAGCGCATCACTATCCGCAATTTCGGGATGATGAGGCAGAAGAACGTCAGAGATCGCGGCATAGCGTTGCTTTTCCGCGTCGGTGAGCGGGAGGACCGGCTCTTGGAATCCAGGGAGGTTGATTCGACCCTTGCGACCGACCAAAGTGCCCAGAAGCATGGTGAGGTCTTTCAAAGGCTCATCAAGCAGTGCACTTCCATCAATACCACTGTGAAGATCAGGATGATCACTGGTCACGATAAGGTTGGCATGAACAACGCCACGCAAGCCATAAGTCAGACATGGGTTGTGGTCATCCAGCCAATAACTGTTGGCAAGCAAAATCCAATCTACCGGGCCAATTTGGGACTTGTGTGTACGAACCGTTTCATGAAAGTTCTGCGATCCAGACTCTTCCTCACCTTCGATAAGGAAGACGACATTGCAACGAAGCTCCTTTCTCCGCGCAAGGTCAGCCGCGGCATACAGGGCTGCTAAAATAGGCCCTTTGTTATCCGTCACGCCACGTCCGTACAAAAAGCCATCAATGGAGGTCAGTTGATATGGATCAGTATTCCACTTATCCCTGTTGGCATCCGCTCCAACAACATCATAATGTCCATAGAACAGAATCGTCTTGTCCACCTTATTCGGGGCTGTGGCGTTGAACCGCGCATGCACGATCGGATTCGTATCCGCCCCAGTAGTCAGCAGATTCGTTTTGGCACCTAGGTAAATGCAGTGTCGGCGTAGGAATGCAGCACCTTGGTTGCATTCACCAGCAAATTTCGGACTAGAAGAGACCGTCTTGTATGCGACGAATTTGGCTAGGCAGTTGACCATCTCATCTGTACAATGCAGAATTAGTAAGCGTGATCTATGCTAATCACTCATAATCATACCGTTGTTAATGCGAGGCTGCTCGGGTTGTGCTCGAGACACATCGGTCAAATCCCATATACCGACAGTGTTATCATTTCCTCCACTGGCGTAGATGTACCGATCTTTGAAGCGACCGGCTGAGGATGCCAACATGGTGCCTCCGTGGGCCACCCAGCTACCGATTTCCTCGAACCGGGAATTGAACTTCTACAAACCAATGAGTATCGTATATCCAAGTCATGGCTCAAAGCTCCTACCTTAATGACACCGTTGGAGTCTCCGCACACTGCAACACCGTGAATGATATCAACAGCCCATAGGTCACCTGTGTGCATCGAAATCCTCTTCACCAGTTGATGGGAGTCCAGGTTCCAGATATTCAAGGCGCCCCCTGCCAAACCACAGTAGAGGAATGAGCCCTCGACAGCGATTGAGAGCACCGGATCTCCGTTCTGGAGCTTCGCAATCTGCGAAGGGACAGCATTGTCCTTGGCTTGATCCAAGCGCCAGAGTTTCACAACTCCGTCGCCCGCACCGGTCAGAAGCACCTCCTCAGTGGGTGCTTGTTCAATTAGCCCTCTCACCAGTAGCATGGTGTAAATATAGCCATGGTGTGAAAATAAGCGGTGATGATCCCGCTTGAAGGTGAGAACTTGGCCGCCCGGGTGTACGCCATCTGCGCCCGGGTCCGATCTGGGAGCACGGGAACCATCGGGGCCTTTGGAATCGAAGAATCTGTGTGTCCGTCGGGACAATTGAGCGGCCGAGCGTTGCGTCGAAGCCGCATCCGTTTGTGATATATCACACCACTGTTATTGTCAGTAGGGACCAAACCATCAAATGAAACCAATTAATTACCTGAATGCTGGTATTCTGGCCACCACAGTAGATGGTCTTCAGAGTAGACGAATATGCCACAGCAAAAATGTCACCAACGTCATGGTGGGAATGTATGGAGTAAAGGCGGTCGAAGGTCCTCGTGGACCAAACCTGCGGCTTGTCAACACTGCAGACGCATGAATAAGCATACGGAAGTAGCTACATTGACGATTGAATCACCCCCGCTGGAGAACAGAAGCTCTCCATCCTCGGAAAGAAAAAGATCTAACACGCTTTCTTGATGGGCATGCACCGAAAGGACGAGATCGTATGTTTCCAAAGACCATGCCTATGATGAGTCAGTGGGTGGAGTCCTGCGGTGTCAAGGTACCACGTACGACAATGTCTCCGCCCTGAAGTCCAGCAAAGACGCATTCATTGTCCAAAACCAGGGCTAGGACGGATCGACTGGCTTGGACGCGGTGGCCGATGCCACACTCCGCCGGCAATGCCGCGTGGGCTGAGTCATGAGCGAGATGAGCCGTCACGGAGCGAGGATCGGACTCCCAGACCTTGGTTTGGTCATCGGTATCTGATGAGCTATCAGATTCTACAAGTACTGTGTGTTCCATTGCTCCCGCAATGGAGCCGAAGATCTCAGCTATGCTTTCCTCTTTGGACTGAATTGACAGCTCAGTGGTGGGATTCACGTGATGTGCTGTGATGCGAATATGTGAGGCTTGAATGAATGGGGCGGGTGGATAAGCAGCAAGATATGGGGACGGACAATGAAGAATGCAGAACAGGGCTAATTAGCATCAATGGAGATGGGGAGAAGGAGGAGTGAAGCTGAAGGAAGCAACACGACGTCGATAGAGGTGAAACAACACAATTGCTTCACCTCCAGAGATGTCGTGATCGACCCGGTGAAGGTTGTCCAGGTGGACCAATCACGCGCCAAGGAAATTGCTGGCCCCAGCAAGGTGGGGCGTCCCCAACTGTGGCGGGTGCAAATGTATCGGAACAGAACATCCACTTCAGTTATCTTAAACTCTTTTTCCGACTCACCTGGCTGTGGTTGTGTATAGTTGGGATGCTTCCAGCAACGCCTATCCCTGTGGTCAATGAGCGATGGGATCTTCACCCGGCTTACATGGCATGTTGTTCTGGCCTCTTTGGCCCCCCAGCAGGGATGCAGGACCTTGGACAATGGGAACAGGAATTACTAACCTAGGTTTTAAAAGCAGACGTGCTATCAAAGTCTCAGTATTGCACTGCGACATGATTCATGAATATGCATTCAGCGAGTCCACGTTGGCTTTATTGGTGAAGGCATATGCGTGTCCTGATGAAGGAAGTGGCATTTATAGGAGACTGTCTGAATTAAGGGGTAGAGGTGTGACCACAGCTTGCGACAGACGGACCAGATAGTACATAACGTGGGAGGTCGGGATTTGATAACGCGTCCTGACGCACTTGGTTTATTCAGCGCGCTGACCATCAACGACTGGTTGCGGATGGAGATAAAGAACGAGCTGTCGGAGCCCGTTAATTGGGTCGCCATAATTAAAAGGTGTTCAGCTCTTGACAGGGGTTATGGGAAAACTTTGGCTCATTCTATTGAATTGTGTGAACAAAAGGGAGAAGCGGGAAGTCTCTGGAAAAACAAGCTATTCGATCTTCATCTATGTTTAATATAAAAATACTCTGTAAGTAGCCTTGGGGTATCTACTACCTGGTGGTGGTAGTAGTAAGGACTCGAAGTAGGAAGAGTTGTGTATGGTAAAGAACATAACCATCTATAATACTGTGTTACTGACCGGAAAACCCGTGGACGCTCCTCAGTGGGTGATGCACCAGCCACAGTGGCGGTGCCACAACTAACCAATCACGAGCTGCAACATCACCGCCATTCCTGCCGTCTGTCCTCAGGCACCTACCGTTCCCCTCTTCCTTTCTTCCTTCCCTCCACCCACTATCGGGGACTTCCCTAATCCGGCAATTCAGGTGTTAGTTATGAGCGATAGTTCCACTTCGGACTAAGTAGATACGGGTACCTCCCCTGTCCCTCCTAGTCATGCTTTGATCAAATTTTCCCAAGAAATGCAGCGATGATCCATGCTCTTTTCCTTCCTTTAAGGCTGAGGGGGTCTTCAGGCATCCAACTGGGACTTGTGCTGCCGTCTCTCCCTGCATCCTTCGTCAGGTACACCCCCCAAGGCACCTCCCAAGAAGTAGTTTCCGACTTTCTGACCTCCCACGTCAGTACCCAAGCGCCTCCCCCGCCAATGGAGCGCCCCCTCAGTTGGATCGTGCGGTGACAGCAACACAGTCCCCACGGATCCGTGCAGCCATTCAGATCTAGCAAATCAATCCTTTTTGGCGCATTTGTTGCCTTGTTCCCAGCTTCATCGACACCCAACCGGTTTGCATTGGCAAGGCGGATACTTCCCCCCTGTTCGTTGCTTTATGCCCATCTTAGGCGCCGCCGCCGGTCTTGCGTCCTTTTAGATCCCCCAGCCCCCTCATATTTTTTTTGGTCTCTTGTACCTTCTCTGTACTCTATTTCGCTGCCCTTACCTGTCAGCGTGGAAATCTCCTCTGTGGCGTGGTCATCCGCCTGCATGCTAGCTACTAGTTACTGTTGGTTGCACCGTACCGGACCTTTCCGCAGCTTATCGTGCTTCTCCTTATAAACTCCGAATACAACCACAGCTGAACTGTGAACCTTGACACCAGGCATCACTTTTCAAATTCGCCATCAGCGCAGTTATATATCTGCGTTACCCAGGTCCCTACTTTTTCAGTGATTTGTGTCGTCATCAAGGCCTGGACCACGATCTCTAGTCTCGCAAACTTTGAGATCGGGCCAAATCTCCACCGCGACTCGACTAGTGTCGATATTATTCCATTTTTATACACTTTCGCCTGGTTGCGCTACACCGCCGGTCTTACGCTCGGGATTTAGTGGATCGCCAACCCATCATTTTATCGATGCTTGATCCTATTTGAATGTCCACTGGGCAAAATCTCACAAGCAAGAAAAGGGTCGATTTGACATTGTTCACTCTGGTCAAGTGACAGAGTATTAAGCACACATCTATACACAGTCATCATGGCTCCTCTCGGCGAAACGATCGCTGTGATTGACAAGTCTGGTAAGGTGGTGAGCACGGTACGTATACGATCATACTCCCCGGAACACCGACACACGATACTGACATATGATGGATCATAGAGCAAACACCTGTTCGGCGTGTTCAGTCAAGCCAAGAATGCCTACCGCGAGCGCAAAGCTCAATTTCAGTCGGAACGGAACGCCAAGATTGCCGAGAAGGAGGCACTGAGGGCTCTTGAGAACTACCATATCGATGATGCGCCTTCAGTCGCATCCTCTCGGAGAAGCCGTTCACGATACCACTCAGGCCGCAGCCACTACGCTCGTGAACCCTCGGTCTATGAAGAAGATGTGCGATGGCAGGATCCTTATGCAGACCCATATGCTGTTCGACCAGGCGAAATGGTCCGCCGTCATACTACCCATGACGTCGCCATGCGTGGACCAGAGCGACCAACAACCAGCCGCTCCAAGTCCGATGCTCATGTCGACATGGATCTAGCATACGGCGACTTTCACCCTTCGGCCCTGGAGAAAGTGCCACCACCCCCGGAACCACAAAACCAGCTCCAGAGAATTGAGAACCCGGAACTGAATACTCTTGTGGATCGGGCGCAGTGGCTCTTAGAGGAAGCTGACTGCATGCAACATACCGCGACCGCCACGATCGCACATCTCCAGAAGAACCCAGATGCTATGGCTGCTGTAGCACTCACCTTGGCCGAAATCAGCAACATTGCCACAAAGATGGCGCCGTCCGCGCTCTCGACCCTCAAAGCTGCGGCCCCTACGGTCTTCGCCCTGCTTGCAAGCCCACAATTCTTGATCGCAGCGGGTGTTGGTATCGGAGTCACAATTGTCATGTTTGGTGGCTACAAGATCGTCAAGCAGATCCAAAACGCCACCACCACTACTCCCAACAGCCCCATGAGGGCGGCGGCGGCGGCTCCAGAGGAAGATCCTGGCATGGATGACATGATGGAGTTCAACACAGAATGTCTAAGCACTGTCGAGATGTGGCGGCGCGGCGTAGCAGATGCCGAGGCCGACAGTGTTGGCACATCCGTCGATGGAGAGTTCATCACACCCAAAGCAGCAGCAATGTCAGGCATTGATGTGACTACGGCACGAATGTCACGGGACCCTCGGTTCAAGTTCGACGATGATGACCAGTCGATGGCATCCTCTCGCAGATCTCGTCGGTCACGCAGCCATCGTGAAGGTTCCCGCGCCAACCACCGACCAGAATCGCATGTCAGCTCGAGGGCACCTTCCAAAATTTTCTCTAAAGCGCCATCTAAGGCCCCGTCGAGGGCGCCCTCCTACGCACCTTCCAAGGCCGAGTCCCGTTACTCAGACATGGAGCCGAAGCCGAAGGAGAAGAAGAAGCGATCCAGCCGTTTGCGTCTGATGTTCACTGCTTGATTTACTACGTCTATATATTTTTCTTAACGACAGATCGACAATTTACGACATGTATATAATATTGTATATTCCGGTTTCGGATTACATTGCGACAGGATGGATATTTGCTTGGCGCAATTAGAATTAGCGAAACTTCTTCATTCTTTGACCTACGATCGGTGGTGAATAGTGTCTTTCTCCTCACTATCATTTGACATTATACTGTTGCACATTTGGCGTTTGATACCACTCCTTATGCATGTAGAATGCTTCTGATGTTAATTTTGTTTTCCAAACTGCATATACTTGAATTGTGACAATTTACCATGGGACATTCAGGACAGTGAAAAGTTGATACTGAATATGAAAATTTATAGTATAACTGAGTCTACTTCTATATTTCTTCTCATACATAACTTTTTGAGAGGTTTGCCAGTAACAACTTTTACTCTGAGTGTTATAGTAGCAGAATCATATGCTTTTCATCCACTCATACTACTACCACTATTCACCCTATACGCACCATACAAGTCAAGTATCTTACACGCAACGGTTGAGAATGTTGTTCCATTCTATCATTACGAGTCATCGATACCTTCCATCCTAAATTAATCACTTCCCCGTCAGGGATGGTACGACCGAACATCTTACTTCGGTGTAGTTGTGTATGGGTAGTTTCAATAGATTTACAGTGCTCTGAAGAGCGGAACGAGAAATGACCGGTATGAAACTGCAAAAATCGTTGCTACTATGTAGGTGAATATATAGATATTTATAGGCTGTCAGTAGTAGTGATTATCTCATAAGTGCTACTCCAGACGGGAAAGGAAGCGTAATGATTAATGAGTAGATAGTCATTACTTCTATTATAGTCCGGTTGAGCCACCGATGGTATTGTAAGTGGCTATACAGACTTCTAGTAATAAGAATATAAGCGGTATTCTAGGTTATAAATTACTATGACAACTTATTACTTAGTTGTCCCTTGCAACTCTGCACGGAGTAGTGTATATATATATAGACGAAATCTAGAGAATTGAAGTATCTCATTTATCCGTAGTGGAAAACCTTCTGTTACATTCGATGTGGAAACAATGCGAGATAGAGCTAGTATATGTACACATCATATTTTATTAAACTTCTCTTGATATCATCTGAGTACTAGTACTGTTAAGTATATATTCACTGTCTCTTCTCGGATGTAGTAGACAATTATAGTGACTGTAGGATTCAAATATAGGACTATAATATATCATGAACATGAAAGAAGTCTTCTGCCATTAGAACTCCCTTCAGTATCGGCCAGGATAATTACTACTGCACCATCCCAGCCACCAAACCCTAATGAAATGTAGGTGAGAACGACCTCAATTTTGGATCTGATAGACACGCGTAGTAATCTTGGTCCGCCTAGAGATAAGTTCATGGTTCATGGAACTAAGATACACTAGTATTCGTAGTCTAGTGACAGCAGAATACTAGTGGACAGTGGGGCTACTACATAGTATGTAGTTCGGCTGCTGTTGTTGCCGGTACAGTCATATGTTATTTGTACAGTCAGTGGTTTGGCAAGTCTGCGTATTAGGATGGGATGGATATACGGCGTTTCGAATCTTTCCTCGCTAACATAGTATTTGTGGGTACTGGGTACAATGGTGCCCTGGTTATGAGTTGGGGGTGTGGTGCTACTGGTAGTAGTGCTTGGTATAGTAATATCTTTGTAAGCTTACTCTCTATAGGCTGGCGGTGGCCATCTGTCTTCTTCAAGCAGTAGTATGATCCTGATTATTCCTGCCTTGATGTATTGCATTATAGGCCCCGGTGATTGCCGCATCTAGGTGGACTGCATCAATAATCAATGTAGGCAATAGTCGAATGGAAAGATTCGGTCACAATACAATGTTTACTGGAGGCTGAGGATATTGTTGACATGGCATGTGTTACTCTCTGGGAGACGAACTATGGGCGTCAATAGTTCTGCACCAGCTTTCATGCCAGGAGGATCCGGGAGGAAGACAACCTCCTGCGACGTAGGGGTTCTGGGCAAAGGGCATTATATTGCCTCTGAAGATGAGGAAAGGATCTTTTTGCCATTGACTATAGACTTTCAGCAATAACGATTTCACCTTACCTGCTCCCTGGATAGGGACTTCAGTATAGAATCCGGAGAGTGTGTAAGGATTTGGGGAAGGGGGTTGGTGAGTCTTTATGATACTTATGGTCTATGCAGCAAGTGAGGTTCCCATTGGCTCATGCAAGGACTGATTTGCTTCGTTCCCAAAGACGATCGTCCTTCAGTTGGCGGTTGGTTGTTTACCACGTCATGCCGAGTTCATGAACAAAGCAATGTGCAGGAGATGATTCTGGAAGAGGCATCAACAATAGTATGATTGGTGGGTCGGTGACTATAGACTTTGGGCGGAACAGTCAAGCACGTTTACGCGGCTGTTGTTGTTTCCGCAGCTTGCCGACCGACGCGCTGACGCTGGACGGCAGGGATAGACCTAGTTCTGAATGCAGGTACTGCAAGGTCGTCTATGGTGAGCAAGTCGTTATCTACATGATATCAAAGGGATTCAGCAGGGAGTTGACCCTGTTTACTCCCCCTAGAACCTCGTTATCAATTGTCGAGTCAGATCGCAACATAATGTTTGCGGTCAATCGTCCGATATCGGTCACGTCTTTCGGGCGTTGAGAGCATCTGCAACATACGCAGAACACAAATTCCCAGGTTACACAATCCTCGTATCCGTTGTAGGCAATCTCATCATACTGCCTCATGTAGTAGGCTTCGAGAACAATAGTGCGAAGCTAGAAGGTGCTGGTTATGCGTGGGTTGCGTATGGTATGCACTAGGCAGCTCATCACCTAGCAGTAGTTTCAGCATCGGCTGAGCGTTGCATTTCAGCTCGGCAATCATGTGGTAAGACCGGCAGAGAACAGCACAGCAAGTGTCAGAGAGAGATTTGGGGGGAGGAGAAGAGATGATGATGATCCTGCTACTCAACCCATCGTGTAGATAGTCGAAGTATCAAATTGTAGTCTGAAATAAGGGCATTATGGAAGGGCATTCGGCAATGGGACGGGCAGGCGTTTGCCGCGCGAGGAGGGCGAGAGAAGCGAAGACGGAAACAGTGGAGAAAAGACGGCGTGAACAAACAATGTTGGAAACCGGCAAATGAAGGCGGGCGAACAGCCGGCTTTGCATTCTTTGCACTCCCAAATCACGTCCCGTGATTGGCTCCCCAGGAAAAACCGTTCGGCCATTCGCCCGTTTTGCTGCCTCAGCGCCTTCGCTGGCCTGCCTTGCAGCTCCAGACTCGCACACCATTCCGAGTCAAACACTAAGATCTGTGGTCTTACTAACCTCCTGTACACAATGCAGCGGACTAATTTGACATCATGCGTCCTTAGTATCAGGTGGAGCCTCGCGCCCACCACTTCCGGGGTCGACATGACCCTCGCGGACAGTTGGCTTGCTTCTCCTCCTTTCGCCATTCAGGACCCAATAATGGTCCAATGATGCACTTCTGGTCTGACCTATACTCACCGGGGTTGTGGAGGGCTGGTCTGGTCTTGCTTCCTTCGGTGGAGAAGCGATCTGGGGGGTTCGCGTCCTGCCGTCATTTCCGGCTGGAGGAAGGACAGCCGAAGTTTGAGCCTGGCTCTGGAATTCTTTATCAGGAGCGTGCTTGCCCATCTTGACATTCTCTGTTGTTGCTGTTGCTGTTGTCAGTTTTATCAATCTATCAGTGTTTTCATTGAACTCCCGTACCTGAGTGGCGAACCCTCATTCATCCACGGATATTGTACGGTCCAGATTTGCCCTTAGCCTAGGACCTCCGAATTTTTTCCCCAAATTTTAAATCTTTATTTGCTGGCCCCGGCCCTCTTTTCCGCTTCCTTTATCATCTTTGTTCTGTTTCATTGTAATCCAAACTTTGTCAAACCTTTTGGATTTATTCGCGAATATGGAACAAGCAAAGACTCCTCTGCAGGTGATCGTGGTTGGGTAAGTTCGAACCCTCGTCTCGCCTGAGTCACTATGTATTGTTGCTGACATTATCCTATAGTGCCGGTAGGACTCCTGTCTCATAGACCTGAAAGCGAAAGAAGCATGTGACTAATGAAATCAGGCATTGGCGGCATGGCTGCGGCCCTGACCCTGGGTATGCGAGGACATCATATTACCATCCTCGAGTCCGCTCCCAAGGTGCGTATACCGCTTCATTCTGATACGTCTTGCTGACTGACCTTTCTTAGCTCATGGAAGTTGGTGCTGGTATTCAAGTCTCACCTAATATGCTGACGCTGTTTGACCGTAAGCGCCCCTTACTGCTCCTCTTACTTAACCCCATCTGATGATATGACTCAGGGTGGGGCGTCTCTCCGTTGATCCACGCCCAAGATGTTGCCCTCGAGCACATCCATGTAAGACGGTGGGAGGATGGTAGCATGCTCGGAACCTTGCCCGTGAACAAGACCTACGGCCAACAGACTGTCATTCACCGCGCAGACCTCCACAATGCCCTCATTGAACAGGCGCTGGCGCTGTCGAATGTGGAACTGCGTGTGAACTCAACGGTCACTGGAGTCCAGTTCGACCAGGCCGCAGTGCAATTGGCCAACGGCTCCATCGTTAAAGGAGACATCGTGATCGCGGCTGACGGCATCAAGTCTGCCCTCCGCGATCACTTGCTGGAAGAAGCATCTGTCGCTATCCCTACGGGTGATGCAGCCTACCGGATCATGCTGCCCCGTAGTGCTCTAGAGAACGATCCTGAGCTGAAGGCACTGGTTGATGAGCCACAAGCCACTCGGTGGCTCGGACCTGGCCGTCATATCATCGCTTATCCAGTGCGAAACCATGATTTGTACAACGTTGTCCTGCTTCATCCAGACAGCCATTCTGTCGAGGAGTCGTGGACCACCAAGGGTTCCAAGCAGGCCATGATCGACAACTACAAAGGCTGGGATCGGCGCGTGACGAAGCTTATCGACTTGGTACCGGACGACGAAGTCCTGGAGTGGAAGTTGTGCCTACACGCCCCGCTAAAGACCTGGATCAGGGGTTCCGTCGCTCTCATCGGTGATGCCTGCCACCCAATGCTGTAAGCACCCCTTATGTTATGATAACCTGTCTTGCACTAACGTCCCATAGGCCATATGTCGCTCAAGGTGCCGCCCAGGCCGTCGAAGACGCTGCTGCCCTTGGTGTCCTGCTCTCCACCATCTCTTCCCGTGATGAGATCCCTCTTGCGCTCAAGGCGTATGAGAAATCCCGGAAACCCCGCGCAGACACTGTCCAGCAATCCGGTTCAGAAAACCGCATCACGCTCCACCTGCCCGATGGCCCGGAGCAACGCGCGCGTGATGAGCAGTTCCGCTCCTCCCTGAAGAGCGGATCGAACCCCGACCGGTGGACAGATCTGGAAACGCAGAAGTTCCTCTGGGGCTGGGATGCCGAGAAGGCAGCTCTGGATGCATGGATTGGTAAGTTGCCATCGCCATCCACTCCTACCTCTGGTAAGACATGCTAACAAACCTAGAACTCCACGGCAACTACGTGTCCGAATTGCGGCACCACCTGTGATTTGCGATCTGCAATATGTCGCATGCACATGACAAACACGTTCCTTCTTCAACATGACTGGGATTGATTAACACTTTTAGCCCTGGCGTTCTCATCAACGTTACAATTAGCGATTATCATATACTTTTATGAATAACTGTACATACATACCAACAGGCATATAGAATGCACATATGAACTTTTCTCTCTGCTTTGTTTTCTTTTTCCAAACTGTTGACTTATCGGTACCTGACGAATGATGTGAAGCGGTGCTGGTAATAGATAGGAACTCGTGATGGTTTGTGACCGTTCCAGCTGACAGAGAAAACCAGAAGCAAAAAGTATGATGGAGAACAGGAATTGCTTTTTGGACAAGGAAAGGATTTTGTCACACAGGACAAAAGCACAGAAGAGTAGAAGAGGGGACGATGGAACTTAGACAGGCAGATAAGAACTAAAACGTGACCGATGGTCCGAACAGGGATAGTTAGCCTGACTAGACTATAGCGGATGACTAGTAGTGGCCCGTTATACACAGAGGTAAGAACTCATTCATTGAAGTGGAATGTAATAGATAATAATTACTCCTAGGATGTACATAAGGCCAATTACAAAGTTTGTTATTTGCCATTTACCAGATTCTCTTAGCTACCATCTCGTAGCGTTGGACATGATCCATATTCAGGTCCTCCTTGGTATTCTTGTCTTTCTCTTCTTTGGCCTTCAGCCGACGCAGCCCCTCAGGGTCATCCGCATAGATCCATCGTCGATGGTCATCGTTGACCTCGACTACGCCCCATCCGCCGAATCGTCGGCCGCCTTCAACTGCAAATGCTCGTCCACGGGGTGCTGTTCCGTTGGGTTCATCAGCAGGTGCTGCCGATGGGGCATTGGCTTGAGTTGATGTTTCGCGCAGCTTCATCGCCTTGTATCGAGATCGAGCGTACGCTAGCAGGACCATACCCAAGAGAAGCTTCAGGATTAGGAGGACCACGAAGCCTGTTAAGATGAGGACTATGGTGAAGATGTAGACGGATTGGGCGGGCGATGGCATGGTGTTGGCTAGAAGTTGGCGGAAGAAGGCACCCACGTAGGCGGTTGACGTCGGGATAAAGTTTCGCAGCGTTAATGGAGGAGGTGAGGGCATTGGAGCCGGCACGTACTGGCTGTGGATAGCGGATAGGGTGGTGGCCTCTACTGCTGTGGAGGAGGGTTGTTGAGGAAGCAAGGCAGTAATGAACATCTGGTACGTTTGGACGGAGACTCGGAAGAAGAGGCAAGACAGTGGGATCACCGGCAAACCTAAGCGACGGGTCAGGTTCTGGTCTGCAAAGGCATTGGTGTAGTAGTCCTTCGCCAGAATATCCAGAAACCGTCCGTAGATGGCTGGCCGCGTGTTGTTGAATTTGCCAATGTAGGCATGCTTTAGCCAATCCACTAGCATTTCCGAACCTAAAACGACCAAGAACGGCCCTAGAACCTGTGCGAGAGTCGGCAGGTACGTGTTCACCTGACTGAAGGACGCAATTATTGATGATGGCACAATTGTAAAGGCCTGTGGCAGGATAGATGAGGAGGTCCGGGGAGGAGTCGATAGGGGCGTGCTGTTGGTCCCCGTGGATGTGTAGCCTCCAAGACTGAAGCTCAAGCTACCAAGGGCATTGAATGCTCCAGTCTCAACAAGGTTTCGCGACGCGATGATGGTAAGCATCAACCAGAGCTGGAACCGCTCAACCACGTCTGCACAGAGAAGCTGGAAGAGATTCTCTTTCTCGAATTTCTTGAATACCGTGGATTTAATCTCCACAAACTGGTTTGAAAGCAGCAGGGTAATGAGCGCGTTTGAATACGAATTCACCGCGACATTCAATGTCATCACCTGATAAAAGAGGGCCGTTGCGTGGATGACTGTGTATGCTAATGCCAGCAAGAACAATCCAAATGGTCGGAAGACCTTGCTGCGCCCGTCCGGGCGACGCTCCAGAGCTTCCCGCGAGAATAGGCACTCAAGCACGTCTTGTCCAATGGCAGCGAATAACCGATCGCTGACCTCTAGCACATTATAGATCACATAGAGTTTGATCGCAGCCTGTCCTCGGATCCAGTGATACATTCGACTTGCATCAAAGCGCATCAACACGCAGCAGGTAGATATGATGAGCAGCCCTTTAAGAATGTCAGCCTTGTCATCTGGCATCAAAGCTGACGGGATGCTCTTCTGCCGCCGGTGCTTATGGTGACGCTTGCGCAGTTCTGTGGCCCGATTGCGAGACTCTCGTTCCACTGATCCGTTCTCCTGCTTCTCAGAGGTCGACTTTCCAGGGTCAGCAACCTTCGAAGACTCGTCCGTCGATGATGCTCGGTGTCGTCTCCGCCACACTCGCCCAACACCTTTGAAAATGAAACCTGTCACATAACGAAACTCAACGCCAAGATTGACAGCCCATGACTCCAGAAGAATATACAATGCTTTGATAAAACGAAGAGGAAGAATGGTAAATGTATGCAACCAAGAATCGAGACACGCTAAGATACCAAACCAGAGGACTCGTTCCAATGCGGGAGGCAGCATCAAAAAGTTCATCAGACGTTCAAGTTTGACCCGAGACGATTCATATGGAAAGTCGCTCATTGCGGAGCGGTGAATGTATAGCGGAGACGGTCGACCGGAGGCCAATTCTAATTGTAGGTATGTCGGAACAGACAAGGGAGGGAGAGGAATGGTTGGAGGCATAGGGGACGGTAGAGCAGGCTCAGGGCCAGTGATGTGTGGCGACGGGGTAAGGTGTTTTCCATCAGACTCTCGACTGAGAGAGGCGCGCTCTTGCTTCCCCCGTGATGTCCAAGTTTGTGTCAGTCGTTCACTGGTTGTTGGCATGGTTTGCCGTCGTGAGCTGGGTGTAGATGCAGCCCGAGAGCCTTGCGGCCGAGTCCGAGAAGGTTGCTTAGCTGCCGTGGCAGCAGAGACATCGATGGCTAGATCCTTGCTGGGACGAAGTTTGGGGACGCTGTCGCCGGTTACCTTGTGCTCATTCGGTAGAAGAGTTGCAGATTGGTCAGGCTGCGATGGTGAGATCGCTGCATGCATGCCATCTGATACTGCACGTCGACCGCGATCCGACTCCGGGGGTGCTGCACGATAAGGAATAGACTGAGGGGATGATGTGAGTTCCTGTATCCTGGCCGGAGAAAGCTTAACTACCCGCTCCTGCTCCTTATCTTGGTTCCTGACAGGGGATGTGTTCTGCGACCACCAATGGACGACAGAAGCTACATCGGGACCTTCGAAAACATCCACTAAAGAGGTCCTCGATGTCGTACGATGATCTGCGCTGTCCGAGCCCTCCAACAAGTGTTCGAAGATCATCCCTAGGGCCTGGTCTGAAGGAAGCACTGGCTGACCGCTTTTCTGGTCGCCGTTCACCGTGGGTTGGCTGGGAAACCTATTTAGGTCGTGGTCGCTGACAGGCGCACCAAATCGGTGCGTGGCTTCCTCCTTATTGCTCCGCTCGTGAGCACTCATAGTATCCGATGTTGCGGATCTTTCTTGTTGCATGGTTCGGCTTAATGGACCGTTGGCATGATCCTCCTTATCCTCGCGGTGCGAATCTACCGGTCTGCTTTGCCGAGACTTTCCAACCCCCAAGCTATGACCTTCGCGATCCATGCCGCTCTCATGTTCTCTCTTCCGGGGAGATACTGGGGTTTCCTGTCCGCCCGGCGCGGCCACATGGGTGATCGTGTCTGATACTTGCTGGCTGGGGTGGTCGGGTAGTTCATCCATAATCGATATCAATGACTATTGACCATTATATAGCAGCGCAGATTGGATATTAACACTGATGTCATGATCCGAAACAGCCTCGAGGGATTCGCCGGCGGGGTTGGGGGAAAGGCGAGGCCACGGTGGTAGGGGTGGTTGATAGTGCCGAGCTGACTGACTGCGCAACGCGACCAGCGGACCGAAGATTAAGGGGAATTCGGGATCATGCTGTGGGCAAACTGCGGACTGTCAAACTTGATCAATGAAAATCAGCCCTTGTTAGGAATTGCAGAAATCGAAAGAACTCTTTCGTAGCGACGAAGTTGCTTATCATGAAAACCAGAAAGAGACCCTGGGGGCTTTGCTTGCGATCCCCGGAACCCCAAGGCGGTCAGCGGCCTGTCATCCCCAACCGTCCTTTCTCTCTTCGGATTTAATTCTCTCTAAGGCCGAGATCGATGAAACAGCAAGCGTCATGTCATTCAGTGAGTAGGGAGTAGTGCTATCCACTTATTATCTAACTACAGGTGCGCCTCCCGAGCTTTGTTGCTATCCTTATTTCTCAAGGCCTCATCGTCAAAGGGAACACTCTTCGGTCTAGCAGGCAGATCGAGCATATCCAAAGACACGGCCGGGGTAAATGTATGAGCCCATCGTTTCCACAACTCCCCTGGCATCAGCCCTGCATACTTGGTAAGCAGAAACTCTTTCAGCTCCGGGGTATCCATTGTGTCCAACTTCTGTCGTTTGTGAGTTGTTTCGATAATACTAAATGTGCGCGGCTCGCGAATGTTCTGCACTCGCTCAAACATTAACTGAATCTCCGACTGGGAGAGTGGGCCTGAGCCCGACGCCTGCGACAACGCTGTCATCAAGCCATTTACCACGGCCGCGGCGCTTTCGAAAGCCTGATTACCCCCTTGCGCGGTAATAGGGAGGACCTGTACCGATCCCGCCAACTGGTTAGTCGCGGTACAACACTGGTAGCAAGGGGCCAGGTCTCCTCACCTTGTGGCAAGCGTCTCCAATAGTAATGATCCTTCCCAGGTGCCATTTCTTGTAGACGAACTCTGGCATAGGTGTGTATATCGTGCTCAACTGACGCTTGCAGAGATCGGACAGGCGAACAGTTGGCGTGACCTGGTCATTCCAATGCTCTTGAAGAGTGCGCTGCTTGTCTTCTTCACTGAATCGAGGGATGTCGGCACCATAGTATGTCTGCTTCATTTTCTCCATCAGGAACCAATAGACGCGCCCGGCAGGACCAGCACCCAGCACATATGAGAAGCCTTCATTTGTCACAAATTCAAGTGAGCGACTGGGGAAGCCTGGGACGGGATCAGACATTCCAAAGATACAGCTGTAACTTGCAGCGACCTCTGCATTATACCATATCGGTTAGATACCATCACATCCTATACATGTAAAAAACAAAGGTGGGGGGGGGGGGGGGGCAGGCAGGAAGGTTTGTTCAACTGACTGTCTTCTTCCGCATAATCCTCCCTGAGCCCTAGGCCTTCGGCGTGTCTAACCATTTCCTGCCTCAGCTTGGAATGGGTGCCGTCTGTTCCAACGATGATATCGGCAGAGTACGTTGACCCATCAGTTGTGACGACATCAACACCATTGTCGGTATGCGTGACACTGGCCACACGCTTGCCAGGCAAAACCTTTGATTTGTCCGCAATGTTGTTGTACAAAACCTCCAGGAGAGACTTCCTGTCCATCCACATATAGGTATACCCATGCCTGTCATCCTGGTAAGCATAATCCTTCAACGATTGAGTGAGCAAGCAAGCAAGAGGGACACACTTCGCAATACACGTCTCAGCCAATCCTTCGTCCAGTCCCCAGAGCGTCTCTCCATCAGGCTTCCGAAAGTGAACCTGGTCAGCACCCGCCGAACACTTCTGCAAATCCTCATAACACCCCAACTGTTCAATGATGCGGAGACCATTAGGAGCGAGAGCGATGCCCGCGCCAACAGTAGCCAAGACCTCGGGGTACGCTTCTAGAAGTAGATAGTCAATGTCATGCTTCTCCAGCATAAGTGCCAGAGAGAGTCCGGCGACACCGCCGCCCGCGATGATGACTTTGCACGGTCTGGGAGCCATTGTATATATTTTACTGGTGTAGATAAAATGGTAGTAACAAAGATTGACAAAGAGACCTTACAGAAGCGAACAGCATTAGCTTTATAATCTTTGTACCTCACAAGTACCCATGTCAAACTATACAACTGCACGCAGTGATTGGTACGCTCGCCTAGATCTAGTGGCAAAGCCGTCACTCTTGGTAGCTGTTCGTAACCTCTTAGTGCTTACATGCGGTCGCCTAATCCAAACACCTAACGGTTATTGGCAGTGATTTTCGGAAATTGTAACAAAGAAAAACTCATGCTTTCCACTGTATGGACCTCAACTACGTTACTTGCTAACACCAATGGGATTACCCATTGAGTTGTTGTAATGGTGTTTGCCGAGGCGGGAATGTTACAACTGGAGAAGTTTAAATCCCACAATAGACAAGCTGGACGCCTCAACCCCACTGCGGAAAACATCTCGCTACATCCTTTTGGGCGTCAAGCAAAACATCGTCTACTTAAATTGAACGGTTAAAGGTAACGACTCATCACACTTAACTGATGTGCTGGGTGTTGGAATGGCAATTGTAAAGTGAAATGCTCTCGCAACTTATTACTCCCTATGAATATTCAACGTTTTAGGGTGCATGTTGGTAGCTACTTCCCATCATCTCCGATATCCTGGCTCGCGTGTCCAACTCCGTCGGCGCCTGTTGCATCCTGTGCGGAACATAGCTTTCTTGCACAAGTCCTTTAAACCCCTCTTGAACGTTAGGAGCAGCAGCAGTAGATGCTGTAATTCTCCTGCTCCTTTCCCAAAGCGCCCACACGACAGCCGACACAGCCAGCACTCCCAGGGGCACGCCCACACCAGCTCCTACAGCCGTCGCATTTGAGCTACAGTGCTTCTCACTGCTTGAACAAGTCGCCGAGGTCGCTAGCACTGTCTCGGTGGAAACCGTGGTTGTCGAAGTGGAACTGGCGTTACTAACTTCCGTCACATTCTCCAGCGCGGCCCGCCCGAGAATCATCTCTCCATTGTTTAAAGTGAACGCCGTGTCGCCATCCACGCACTCCGAAGACCCGTTGTTCTTGACCTGAAAGCCGCAGCAGTATTGTGCATCTCCGGAGCTGTCGGTGCCGATTCCGATGATAGGTGCGCCGCCGCTAGGGTTTTTATTTACTGTTTGGTACGCATGTAAGTTGATGCACGGGATAGGTACTAGGTGGTGGAGGGAAGGAAGCGAGACGACTTACCACACTGTGTCGGACAGCCGCTACCCCAGTTTTCGTCTGTACAAGAGCCCCGGAAAAAGACATATGGCTGGGCTCCGACTCCAACGCAGTAGCCATTAGACATGCAGATCGCATCGGAGTCGCAGCAATAGGCCGTGTCAGCGGACGTACAGGGGACGTTATTGGTGGCGACGGACTTGTCGGGGTGGTAGCATGTGCGGGCGGAGGAGAGAGAGATGAAGAGGGTGAGTGTGAGTGTGAAGATGAACATTGTTTTCGCAATTAGATTATAAGAAGCAGTATTATCGTAGGGTTGTAGGATGATTTGTTCGTTCAAGGAGAATGTGTGGCATTTTGGCCAGGAGAGTGCGCAACGCTGTTTACGAGCGGCTGGATGAGTTGATAAATGTTTTGCAGAAATCCCGCCTTGATTGTTGAGGGATCAAACTAGGCTCAGGGATAGTAGTGTTCGTATTTCTTGGCTAGTCCGTTGGTTAGACAAGTGGGTTAAGAGCCTAAGAGGCCTCTATACTAACTCTCGTTGTCCCGCTGGACTAGTCGCGACTTAGAGGGTAACATGAAAATGTGCACCAGCAGCGCTAGTCATTCCTTGGATTGCAGAAGAAACTCTTCGTACTTTGCAAACTCCATCGAGCATTGGGCATAGTCTGAAAATCTTGACGAGGGCCCTATGAAGATTTCAGTGTTGCGTCCAGAATCTGGTGACAAGGCTTAAAATCAAAGTGCAGAGCTAGAAGCTTACTCTAATCGAAACTTCACAATAGTTACCGCGAATAAGGTCGGATGACCCAAATCCTTCGACAACTTTCGCAGTCTTAGCGCGGTCTCGGCTCAAGAGTGGGGGCCACGCAGAGTCATGGTGCGGGTTGCAGTGGCCACATTCACATATCAGGGCTTCATGGGTCCACGCTGCGGTGTATGAAGGACCGCCTGGGTGCGCTCGCCATATTGCCCATGCTCTGCTTTCGTGTGCGGTTGCTGCAAGCCCAACAATATACTTTATTGATTGAAGACCATATTCTCGGTGAGGAGTTCGAGAAGCATCAATATTGAAATAAATCAATTCGAACGGCAGCTGGAGATCGATTAAACGTACTTTGAGGCACTCGTTCGGTGGTCGTCCGAAAGAAGGTGGTCTCCAGGGGAAGATCCCGTAGATCGCTTGCTGTCAATCAGGTGATCCAGCCACGCACCGTACTACTATGGAGGACGGCTTCACTTCCCCTTTTCTGCTTTTGACCTTATTGTCTCCAGTCGGCCGTTGTGATCGAATCCAGGCACGATATCAGTTTTGCGACTTCATAATTTGTCCGGACGTTATGAGCTAGTGTTCTCCATTAACGTCTTTGCATCTCATCTACCATATTAGTGGAACTATTTGCGCCCGTTAATGATGCACGATCGATATATGGTGTAAATCATCGCAACCACTCCCCTGGGTTCATAATGTTGCACAAATCGACTTACTATTGATCTGAGGTTGCACAATTGATCAAACGGCGCCCAAGGATGAGGGAGCGCGCTTTTATATTATTGCCTATAACCTCTGCTAAACAGAGACCGATAGTGAACAGAGAGGGCTGATCATCGTGACTTGGTAATGAAAAGGAGAAATTCGAATCTGATTATTGACAGTAGGCCATCAATAAGGAGCACGCTGCATTGAGGAGAAGATAAGGCTGGTTCGAATGTGGACAGTGAATGCTGACAGGTCTACTGCAGGCCGAGGACGACAAATTCGGCAGAGTCTGATGACTGCTCATGATTCCCCAAGAAGTGGAGTGCGTTGATGACGGATAACGGCTGCCAGCGTTGAAGCAACTGTGGGATAATTACAAGGCGAGAGATGTCTTTGAAGATCGGAACCATGGGCGATGACTACTTGATAAGGACCTTGGCTGGCAATGCTGGGCCCTTGAGACATGATCGCTGGATACTCGTATCAAGGCTCCATACTGGTGAATAAGGAGATGGGGGAATCGGAGAATTAGTAGGCCATCGATTCAAATGGCGCTAACGCGCTCGACGAGCGCAAAAAGGAATTAATAGCTCGCCTATCCCGCCAAACAATGCCACATTGTCCTATTATCAGAGCCACAGCGCGGAGAAATCCAGAAAAATCTTTATCTTCACATTACCAGCTGAAGAACCCGAAAATGAGTCTGAACTGCATGAAAGTGGAGTGGTTCGGCAGTATGAGGATGCATCGCGTCTGGAAGTTGATACATCCGATCCGTGCGGTGCCTGGCAAACCTTATCAGCCACGCGAGATGGTGCTGTGCCACGGATTCAATTGGCTTCGATACTGCCGACTCTTACCAGGTTTTCGGCAACCTGTGAAGCAAGGGCTGCAACGCACAGACTAAGCTGCAACTACCGTTCCTCGTTAGCCTGTTAGTCTATCACTTGGCAGGGGGTTCAACGGTGTCTCAAGTGACTGATACATGTCGAATCCGAGTCCAGAGGGTCCCCCTCTTGGTTGCCTTGGAGTCCCCGCCCTCTCTCCTAGAGGGCGAACCGACGTACGGAGTAAACACCCCTTCGTGATCTTCAGTAGCCTGGGCTCGGTATCTTCGAAAATGGACATACGGTGCTACCTAGTCCCCTCTTCGAACTCCTGGCTGGCCTGTCATTGGCTCTGCCGTAGAACAGGATGTGATGTATAGACACCGAATGTGCAGCCCCATGCAGATCAGGATACATCCAACGTCCCTTAACAACCAGCCCTTCTCCCTACCCAAAAATAGTCCTGTCAGAAAGTACTTAATGAGTTCGTTGGTCTGCAGTTTGCCTCGATTCCAAATACCAACAGCCACGAACTATCAATTACTTGCAGTCATTACCGACCCATACTCTAACCTTGTCTGTGCCCATAATGTCGCTAGAACAAGTGTCAGGTGGAGGCACCGAGGGTGACTTCCAGCACCCCAATGAGAACCTTCGTCGGTCGACCATTATTGCACTTTATTTTGCCTTTATTATGTCCACGGTTGCCGTGGCCCTACGTCTTCTCGCGAGAAAGATCACTGGGTCACGGTTGTACTTGGATGACTATCTTATGATAATAGCTTTGGTATGGTCATCACTTGTATCTTACTTGGGATTCATGCTAACTTGTGCCTCAAGCTCTTCAAATATGGCTGTTCGATCGGTGTCACAATCCGTAAGTTATCCTCACCCAAGGATGCCCACGATATGTCTAACCGTTACAGTTCTATGGAACGGCCTCGGATGTCACATCAACATGATCCCGCAAAAGAACCTGACGGTTTACTTTAAGGTTCGTGTCTACAAATCCCCTTCCCATGATGATCGTTAACCACGAACAGATCGGATGGTCCAATTCCTTCGTTTACACTCTCTGCGTCATGTTCATCAAGCTATCTATCCTGGCAGTCTACAAGCGGCTATTTGCTGCTAGGAGCATGAAAATCGCAGCCAACATCGTTTCCGTAATTGTTGTCCTCTGGGCTGTGAGCATCAGCATCGGCGGTGTTCTGAACTGTGTGCCTGTTCAGAAGTTCTGGGATCGCCCGGTCCCAGGCCACTGCGTCAACACCGTGGGCTACTACTACGGCCAGCAGATCCCCAACATTCTCACAGACGTGGTTCTGCTCATTATGCCGCTGAAAAGCGTCTGGGAACTACCCATCTCCAAGACTCAACGGTTGTTGCTGTCGGGAGTGTTCCTGGTCGGAATTCTGTATGTCCCCCTCCCCTCTGAAAAAGCAAGAAAGTGTCTAGTACTAACCCAACCCAGGACCCTGATCTTCGACATTTTGCGCCTGGTCGCAATGATCCAGCTAACACAAGCCGGTCCAGATATCACCTGTGAGTACATCATCGTGCCTCTACCCATACATCAAAGCGCTAATGAATCCCCTAGACAACCAAGTTCCCGTCGTCGTGTGGACATGTATGGAGGCAGCGGTAGGAATCACAGCGGCATGCATGTCTCACATCCGGCCACTATTCAACGTCAAGCTCTGGTCTCGACTCCGGTACTCCGACCAGGAGCCTGGAAAGGGATCAACCAACTCGTCGGAAGAGGGATTCTCTTCTTCCGACCGAACCCTGTTTGACCCCTGCGGAACCCAGACTACCATCTCCGCTGGCCACGAGGTGCATGCTGAGCATGAGAAGCCTTGAGGTAGTTACTCCTTAACTACTGCTGTCGAGCAATGTCAAAATCTAAGTCTTATTGTCATGTGTGAGGATCAATGTGTTGGTCATGTAATGGCTCTAATCTTTTCTGCTTGTCTTATGTTACGATTGAGGAATCCTTTAATATTCGTGAGATGTATATAGTTAGTGGATTATTAATGCACAATTTTATACCCATATCTTAGTACTTGCTTCTTTGCATATTAGTGTCTATAAGCTGAAGGGAACGACAAGCAAAAAATGGTCGCATTAAGTAGCCTCTTGATGTTAGAAAAATTTAATTACCGATCTCGAAGACTCGCAAGTCCACGACCTAGCTCCCAGTTACTCCTGCTTCCTGCCTCCTGACCCCAAGTTCTCCTTTCCCCAATGATTTAGCTCCCTCCCTTGCAAATTACCCTGGAGTTGAAGATCCCCCGCTTTAGTTTCACCTGCACCACCCCCTAGCATGACCGAACAACACCCCATCAGACAACCCCATCACCAGCCACCCTGTCCCTCAGCCGCCCTGAGAAGATAGCACGCACCTCCTCATTACAGAGCTGACCACCAGTAAACCAAGAATAATTCAACGCATCCACAGCACTAATCCTCATCTCAGGCTGTAACCTCAACATCGCCCTGACAAGTCCCATCCCCCTTTCTTCCATCCTAGGCATCAATCCCCACAAGTCCTGTTCCACATACAGTGGGAAATCCGCGCGATACTCAGGCAACCTCGACACCCCCCTCCACGACGTCTCACACGGGGTTCCCATGACCTTGAAAATCTTCTGCAATTGGTCCTCATTATTCGATCCGGGAAACAATGCCCGACCTATAGACATCTCCGCGATGATGCATCCGATAGACCAGATGTCGATGCTCGTGCTGTAGCTTCGACTGCCCAGTAATACGTCTGGCGCGCGGTACCACAGCGTGACGACCTCATTGGAGAAGGTGTTTACCGGGATGCCGAATGCGCGGGCGAGACCGAAGTCTGCGAGTTTGAGCTGGCCCTTATGGTTGACCAGGAGGTTCTGGGGTTTGAGATCGCGGTGGAGGATGCGGTTCTTGTGACAGAAGGCGACGCCGCAGATGAGTTGGTTTGCGAAGGATTTGATGATGGAGGGTTCGAGATGCCCGCCGTTGGTGTCCATGTAGCGCTTTAGGTCTTTGTCCATGTATTCGAAGACGAGCATGAGTCGGTTCTCGGAGTGGATGACATCGTGGAGGCGGAGGATGTTCTCGTGATGGAGCTCTTTCATGAGAGAGATCTCGCGGATCGCGGTCGAGGGTGTGCCTTCTTCTGTGTCGAGGGCGATTTCTTTGAGTGCGACGAGCTCGCCGGTTTTGGTGTTGCGGCCTTTGAAGACCTAGTTCAGGGCTGTTAGGTGGTGGTGGGGGGGATTGACGGTGTGGGGAGTGGGTTGGGGTACCGTGGCGTAGGTGCCTTCGCCGAGCTGGGGTGGTTAGCGGTGGTTCTGTATGGAGATGTTGTGGGGGGTTGGTGGTTGTAGCGCTTACCTTTTCCAGCTGTTGGAAGGAGTTGGGAGATGTTCGGGTCATGGTGGTGGTGGTGAGGGTGTGGCTTTTGTGGAAGTGGTGGAGGATGAGTTTAATGGGGGTCTGCAGTAGTTGAAGGATCGAATGCAGAGAGTCTGACTGTCAGGCACAAACCCCGCCAAGTTTCCCTGCCGATGACATTGCCTGTGCACCGGAAATCTCCAGGTCGATAAGGTAACTATTGCTAATTCATTAGGCCCACGGGTTGCGGAAGATGATGGGCTGCGGAATGTCATTCATTGGTGGACGGGAACTGGTCGGAGGCCTTAGCTCAGGCTGGGGTGAAGGGGAGTACGTATGTCGGCTGACGAGTCCGTGAGAGATCAGAGTGCTCAAGCTACATTATGTATACTGAGGGATTCTACAGCAGGAACAAGTATGGTGGATTGTCGATATGATAGCAATATAACTTGGTAGGAGATCACCGAGATGGATGTCAATCGCCGAATGGGGAGTGGACCTCGGTACTTCCCCTTTGGGTATCGCCATGTCCGATCCAAGGGACAGTACCTTTCTGATTTCTTATTTTTGGGCGATGGCAAGCCAGTTGCATCATTCGGTGCCGCCAGCGAATTAGGATAGCCGTCCCCATGCGATCGTCTGCTTTGTCGGTGGAGAGTAATAATTGAAAGGGAAGGAAGATCTGGAGGCTGAGAGGAAGCGTTGGAGTCGGTCTTCTGTCCGAGCGAGAATCCCCGCATTTGGTCTCCATCTCCAGCTTTGCTCCTCGGCTGCTTCTTTTACCTCCTGTTCTCTCCCTGTGTCTTGCTCTTCTTTCTTCTTCGTCCCTCTTCCCTCTTCATCTAATCTTCAATTACTGGTCTTTACTTGGACTTCAATCGCTTCTCTTCTGCTCTATACCTCTCCACTCACCTCTTGCCTGTCTACAACCCCGCATTATGGTCAGCGCCGTTCGCGTCGCCCCTTCGGCCGCCAGTAGAGCCCGCAATCTACTGCGTACCGTCCAATACACTCATCCTCCATCATGTCCGTGCCATTCCAATCCCAATCACCATCATCACCATCGCTCTCCCACACTATCCGACCATGTGCGTCGTCATATGGCCACCCCGGTCGACCCCTCCCGTCAAAAGGAATACGCCTTTGAAATGGCCGCCTCCAGCATTCGTTTTGGCCCTGGAGCCACGAAAGAAGTCGGTATGGACTTTGCCAACATGAAGGCAAAGCGTGTGTGCATTGTGACGGATGAAAACGTTGCCAAGCTGGATGCCATGAAACAGGCGGTGGAAGGTCTATCGCGTGAGGGGATTGAGTTCACCGTCTTTGACAAGGTCCGGATTGAACCCAAGGATAGCTCGTTCGTCTCCCATCGCATGTTCTATTATCAATTGCCGATTGCTAATAACAACAGTGTCAAGGAAGCAATTGCATTTGCTAAACCTTACAACCCGGACGCTTTCCTCGCCGTAGGTGAGTATCGTCCCCAGGTCATCCCTTGATCCGGCTAACGGCGCCAGGCGGTGGATCGGTCATTGACACCGCCAAATTGATGAATCTCTACACCGTCTTTCCCGATGCTGATTTCCTCGACTTCGTCAATGCGCCACTGGGTAAGGGTTTGCCTGTTAACCGGCCGCTGAAGCCTCTGGTGGCTGTGCCGACTACAGCAGGTACCGGTTCGGAGACTACAGGAACTGCCATCTTTGACCTAGTGTCCAAGAAGGCCAAGACTGGTATTGCCCATCGGAACCTGAAGCCCACTCTGGGAATTTGTGATCCGATTAACACACGGACCATGCCGTCGGCGGTCCATGCTTCCTCGGGTCTGGATGTGCTCTGTCACTCGCTGGAGTCATGGACGGCGATCCCGTACAATGAACGGACACCTCGTCCGACTAATCCCATCAACCGCCCCGCGTACCAGGGTGCGAACCCTATCTCCGACATCTTCTCTCTGCAGGCCCTGAAGAGCACTGTCAAGTATCTCCCCCGGGCGGTTAAGGATCCCGACGACTTTGAGGCGCAGTCCCAGATGCTTCTAGCCGCTACGCTGGCTGGTGTTGGGTTCGGAAACGCAGGCGTTCATCTCTGCCACGGCATGAGCTATCCTATTTCCAGCCAGAACCCGGGCTATAAACATGCTGGCTACTCTGTGGACCACCCTATCATTCCCCACGGTGTGTCGGTGGCAGTGACCGCGCCGGCGGTGTTCCGCTTCACAGCTGCTTCCAACCCTGACCGGCATCTGGCGGCCGCTGAGGCGTTCGGAGTAGACATCTCGAATGTCAAGCGGGAAAGCGCTGGTGAAGTCTTGGGTGAGGCACTGGCCAACTTCCTGGTCCGGCTGGGCGATCAGCCCCGCGGCTTGAAAGATCTGGGCTTCAGAGCCGGTGACATTGACTCCCTGGTGGAGGGCACCATTCCACAGCAGCGAGTGCTGGCACTTGCGCCGACGCTGAATAAGGAGCTGGAGGCAGAGAGGGCCGAGCTGCGGGGACTGCTCGAAGAGTCGCTGGAGTATTAGCTTAAGTGTGTACATAGCGAAATAGTCTGAAATTGCATGATGGTCCAAATGACAGTGACCAGATGCCAAGTGCACTAATCCTGCAGCTTCCCTGCCAGCGTCCCTTGAGATTGTCGATATTCGACTGAACCAAGCCACTAGTCCAATCAGCCGACCTTGTCATGAAGCGTATCGCATCCCCGCATTCTCACCCGCATTCCTGCAGCGATCCTCGCCCCTTCCTGCTTATATACCCAACCTCGTCTCCATTGCCATCTCTTCGACACGCCCTCTGCCCCCTCATCCCATCCACCCACCCTCACCATGAAACACCACTACAACCCATCCACCTACCTCTCCATCCTCCCCTTCCTTTCCTCCCTCACCATGTCGCACCCCCAACAGCCCCTCCCACAAAACCTCCTCACCACCACATCCTCCGCCGTCACCAAAGCCGGCAACCCCGTCTTCCCAGGCTGGTACGCCGACCCAGAAGCACGTCTCTTCAACGCCCAATATTGGATCTACCCGACCTACTCAGCCGACTACAGCGAACAAACCTTCTTCGACGCCTTCAGCTCTCCGGATCTCCTCACTTGGACCAAACACCCCACCATCCTAAACATCACGAATATCCCTTGGTCGACGAACCGTGCCGCTTGGGCCCCGTCCGTGGGCCGGAAGCTCCGCTCCTCCGCCAGCGCAGCAGCAGCAGCAGCAGCAGAAGAATATGACTATTTCATGTATTTCTCCGTTGGTGACGGAACCGGTATCGGTGTTGCGAAATCGACCACGGGGAAGCCCGAGGGTCCATACGAAGATGTCCTCGGTGAACCACTAGTCAATGGCACAGTGTATGGGGCAGAGGCAATCGATGCGCAGATCTTCCAGGATGATGATGGTCGGAATTGGTTGTATTTTGGGGGGTGGAGTCATGCGGTTGTTGTGGAGTTGGGGGAGGATATGGTGAGTTTGAAGGGGGAGTATTTGGAGATTACTCCGGAGGGGTATGTTGAGGGGCCGTGGATGTTGAAGAGGAATGGGGTTTATTATTATATGTTTTCGGTTGGGGGGTGAGTACTCCCTTTTTAGGTTTCTGTGTGGTCGATTGAAATGGGGAATGGTTGAGATGCTAACGCAGCTTTGTTGTTGGGATTAGATGGGGTGATAATTCTTACGGAGTCAGTTATGTCACGGCTGATTCTCCGACGGGGCCGTTCTCGAGTACGCCAAAGAAGATTCTGCAGGGGAATGATGCGGTGGGGACGAGTACGGGTCATAATAGTGTGTTTACACCGGATGGACAGGATTATTATATTGTTTATCATCGTCGGTATGTCAATGATACGGCCCGGGATCATCGCGTGGTTTGTATAGATCGGATGTATTTTGATGAGGATGGGGAGATATTGCCGGTTAATATCACGGTGGATGGTGTTGAGGGGAGGACATTATCTTAGTTTATAACCACTGACAGGAGTATATTAGTTGATTGAGGGTGTTGTCGATGCAATAGAAAGATTTTTTATGGCGAGACAATATATTTAGTTGAAGAAGATCCAAAACTCACTTGAAGCAGACAAATATCCATTGATAGTCCATGAGTGAGCACACAGGGAAAGCAATCCAAGTCATATGTCACTCGAGATACGAATCATTGTTATAACTGTATGGGGAGCCCTTTCACCAATTTGTCTTTAACAGAACTTGTATGAGGTCCTATTCAGTTAAACATCATGGCGATATACCTTCGAAATGATGCAGCATACAAAAGGAAAAGACAACGCAAGATATCAGCATATAGGTTCAGGTCTTAGAGATCCTCGGGGGGTCTTCAAGAGAGAGAATTAGAGAAGGAAGGCCAAAGGTCAGACCACAGGCAGCTAATGATCCGGTGAAGTGCCTAGCTACGGTGAATGCCTCTACGAACAAGGTGCGTCTCCACACTATCCTAGCCTCGACCTACTTTCCGGAATGATATGAACCACAGGAAATATCCGTCCGTTTATCCGTGACGCGACGCGATTCAGTCGAATCAGCCTGTGAGTCTACTCACGATAGTAACCAGAAGAAATTGAAGCTGAACAAATCCCAGGAACATTCCTTACTTTGCTGTGCAACCCGCGGAAGCTACATATACCCAGCAAACCCAGACGACCAGTATATAAACTCAATGCATCCCACACCGGCAATCCTCTACCAAAACCCAACCCCCAAACCTTAGTTATTCAACCTGCACCAAAATGTCCACATCCGAAATCAAATACCCCCTCGAGGGAAACACACGAATCGAAATCGAGGTGAGCAAAGTACTCGACGAAGCCAAGATCCCCAACTTCATCTGGGGTCAAGGCGTGCATCTCATGATGGGCATCAAAGATAAATGGGATACACCAGGCTGGGTAGTCCGCGACAAAGACATCCAATTAGCCGCACATGTGTTGAGCTGTACCTTCCACACCGGAAAGCCCTATTCCGCACGCACGCCCGAGGAAAGAAAAACCCCGACGCCGGGGGAATACTGCTTCGAGTACGGAGTGTTCGGGGTGCAAGAGATCCATCTTCACAAGAAGAGTAGTCGATGTCCCAGTTTCCCTGACCCTCCGTTAGATAATCCGGGCAAGAATGACCAGTATTACATGCTCACTTCGGATAGACGTCTACCGGTGTCGCGGATTGTCAAGGTGCGCGATATGCCGCAGGAGAATTACTACCCTGTGAAGATGCCCGTGCCGGCGAGATACGTGGAGAATCTCGTGCTGTTCTGCGCGTGGAATCTGGCTGTGGTGGATATTCCGGACCCTTATTATGATATGCTGGTTTATCTGGCGAGGGGGATGGGGTTG